ACGATCAAACAAAGGCGCCACCGATGCCAACTGATTGCTGAATCGCGCACCTTTCCCCCTCAACACACCCATCATCGATCGAAACCACAAAACAGGGCTAGGGAGAATTTCTGCCCTTTTTTTTGAAACGTTGCATGTTCCCGTCAGTTAGTTGCGAGAATTTTCTTTTTACACCATTTTGGGTGAAAAGACTTTTTGAGAAGTTTGATCCCATAATCATTTATGCAAGGCATTTTACTGGAGAGTACTGTGTATTGAACATGGTCGTCGGTAGCCCGGGCCCGGCATAAACGGCGACTACCGTACGGGCTATCTGACACTCGAGTTTTACCGGCCATTCATTCTACGGGCATGGTTCAATAACTATCCCGTATCCTGGGAAGAACTCTGCCATGTCCCAAGTTAAGGGTAGATGACGTGGGAACTTGTAGAGTCTGGTCCAGCCCAAGCCGAACTTCGTTGTTGTGAACGGCTCTTGGCACCGGAGGTACGGGCCCGGCCTTGGCAGCGAGCTCGGGTCTTGGCATCCCGTTTATCTTGCGATGATCGCCGAGCCCCGTCTCCCTTCCTCCGGCTCTGAGCACCATACATCATTACACACAGCAGCGCTCGACAAGACCCGGGTTCCTGATCATTACTGAGTAGATGCACTTCATTAATGCGACGAGGAATATTATGGGATCCTTTGTTAATATCAATCAATATCCCAAACGCTACCACTCATGATGTCTATTGTGTGGTATATCCTCCGAAGCTGAAACCTTAAGTCCGCCCGCTCTGTACAATTTTGCCAAGCCGACCGACACTATGTTGTGAAATTGCCATGCTTTTATCGAAGCCCATCCCATGTAACGCCGTCCCATGACAATGCTACACTCTAGCATGCTGATTAAGAAAAATGAAAGAGCTGAGAAGAACAGTCTTCCTGACGAATAATGCGACCCTACCCAATTCGAGACCTCCTTTGCCGTGATATTGCAACACAAAAGCTTGCATTAACGAACCAAGGGGTGAACTTGCTTGTTCGTCAACCTCGTCACAGTAATCGTGAAGTTATTCGGGTCAAACGTCCTCGTCCCCGGGTTATACCAAGCCGTGACATATGCTGTTAACCAATGCTTCTTCGTCTCAAACTCGATCATGCCGGCAAAAGCCATCGAGCCGCGGGGTGGGTCAGGTCGGATTGGTTTCCAGACCTTCCTGTACGTCTTGGTGAAGATCTCCCACGGGCTGAGGCCGATGAATTCCCGCAACTGGGCCAAAGCCCATTCCTTGTCCTTCTTCTCGTCACTGGTCTTGGGCGCCTCTTTGCTGGGAGGTGTTTGTTTCGTGGTCGTAAGTATCCCCTTGTCCTGCGTAGCAGCTTCGGGGTTCATGCGCCTTGCCGATACGAGGGCACCAGGGTCCTGCACGTCCTCCGGTCGTTGTGTTGCCTGTCGCCGGATCTGGTCCATCATCCTCTGAACATCACCAGTGACCGTCGACTGCAATCCCGTTGTTCCAGTTCCCTGAGCTGGTTGTACCGTAGATGCCGAGGGAGTGAGGAGATTAGAAAGACCGAAAAACTGCGAGACTTCCACCGCTTTCTTCTTCGCTAGGGTCGTGGCGACGGCCCATAGCGATAGCGCAACAGGCTTAGGCCAGAACAACCTCTCGGCTTTCTTCACTTGCGGCGACTCCATCGATATGCTGGCCCATCCGATTTCATAAGATGTAATCATGATTCTGCAATGAAACGATGAATGTCAGTCCGACTCGGGTACGCACAGAACCTGATCTGAGACTTACCCGTAACGCTCGTATTCGGGAGGTGCAACCAAAGGGTAAAACGCCTGGAGCCATGCCTTTTTGACAGTCATGTCAGGGCCAACATGGGTTGTCAAGATTCGCTGTTTCTTGAGCATCGTCAAGACCAGACTGGCGATGTCCGCTGTTCGTCGACATGTCAGTCTCCATATCTTTGCCACAAACAAGTTTGACCAGCGCTACTAACCCTGAACTTGCTCTATCCGTTTCTGATCTTGCGCAAACTTGACAAACTCTTTCCACTCCGTGCTGCGTGCTGAGTATGGCTCTGGCTTGAGCTTTTGCTCCGTCAGGGGAAATGGTATGAAGACGTAATCCTCTTCTTCGTCGTCGTCTTGCGCACTATGGCCACGGCCGTCGTCGAGATCGTCGAGGGCGTTCGAAAGCATTCCCAGCACTTTTCTGTCGTAGTAGTCGATGCACACGTACGCAAGAATACTCATGCTCACGACCCGGAACATTCGCCTGCAAAAAGAAAACCCCGTGTCAGCGCGACAGGCTCGGTTATTTGAAACTTTCAAAGGCTTTACCTTCTAAAGGAGCCGTGCTTGATCCGTACTCCTTGCACAACCATTGGTTGCCCATGTACCACGTATTTTGATAAACGTCGGGAGGCCATGAGCGACCTCATCGGTCGGAGGAGGCGCGATGCCATATTGGATGACTGTGGCACGCCCAAGCGGCGGCCGAAGAGTTCGGGGGATCAAAGGTCGCGGCCGCTCGTATGCGCCGAAGGATATCGGATATGAGAACAGAACGGCGAAACGGCCTCGCGCTTGACTGTGCTCGGCTTCGCTAGTAGTTCGTTGCCGGTTCGGAATGTGGCTTTTCGAGGACAGGTAAGGGCGCGCGGATGTGTTAGCCTGCTCTTCTCTACCGATACTCAGAGCAAGCGGACGGTAGACGGTGTCGGGGATGGGTTTCGTAGGCTTGTAACGAGTGCGACAGCGGGACGCAAGGCCAATGGAAGTTGAAGACCGCGGACAGAAAGGCTTCCGGGGTCTGGTCGCGCCTCGAATTCCGGCAGAAGATGGAGGGTCACAGTGTGAGATTCGAGGGTCTTCTATACTTGTCCACTCCAGCGGTTCCAAGACGCTGTTCGGTTCAGATGTTGGATCCCGCAGTGCCCATTTTCGCGGTCTCAATGACACCAACAGTGCGTTGGGGTAAATGCGTCACTGTACTAGGTACTTACCTCTAGCATTCCGGCGTCGGTCCTCCACGTCAGCCAGTTGAGGGCAGCTGTCACGGTCGCATTTCCATCACAGTGGGCGGGTAGGCCAGCGGTGCCAATGGCAGCGATGACCACTGCAGTTCAGTGGGCGCTGCAGGGGAACTGGCAGCCCTGTGGGACGGGATTCATCATTCGGCAAGCTCCATCCAACTCCGACTTCCAGTCCATTGTGTCTCCGCCAGCGACTTTACCAACGTCACTGGAACAATCCTCATCCAACATCACCACCGGCCGCATCAACAACCGTTCGGCTGCTTTTCAAGATGAGGTTTCTCACCAGTATAACCGTGGCAGCCCTCTCTGGGCTTGCTGCTGCTGCATCACAGCAAAGCGCCGATGTCTTTATCCTCGATTCCAAACAACAACAAACATCCCGCGAACTGCCCCGGCTACCAAAAGAAGTCGTTCGCCATATTCTTCTCCAAAGGGTAAGCCAAATACCTCCAACCCGGCGCGTAATGTTGATATCGGATCTAGTCTAACTCATTCCACAGACATCTAGACACAACTACGGCAGCGATCTTCGCGACATTCCTAGCTCCATCGATACTGAGGCCGCGATCAGCTCTATTGCGAAGTACGGCAAGAGTCCGGCACCTCTTTTCTCCCAAACCGAGACGAGCGACCCATCACAACTAGTGGTTATCCTCGAGGGCATCACTGCCGAGAACGTTCAACCTTTGAAGGAATCGCTCGCCAAGTCAAGCCAGCATGCCGCTTTCGCCATCTCAGATCCGCCATCCAAGGTGGCCAATGATCGCCTGATGTCACTTTTCCAAAACTTGGGTATTGCTGCGCCAGAGCAGTGCGACCTGGCCTCTGCTATCAACCCTGTCAACGGAGACTGCTGGACGGGCTCCTCGTCAGTGGTCAAGTACGATGTCAAGAAGGTGCGATATCCAGAGAACACTTTTACACCCGTTTCTAGAGCGAGAACTAACCCACACCCCTGCTTAATAGTCGCCCGAGGCCCTTAATACTCTTGTCGACAACCTGAGCCGTCTCAACAAGTTCATCTCCTCCGGCGATCTCGAGGCCCTTCTCGTCCTCATGCCCGAGTCTAGCCGTTCTTCCAAGCTCAACCAGTGGAGCGTCAAAGCCGCCACCGGCTCCGATCTCCGCCGCCGCTTCAACTCCGAGACCGTTATCGTCGACGACTCCGTCCGCGGCGCGAACGGTGCCGCCGCCCCGACACAGCCTCCCGTTTCCCGCCCGACTAAGAGTCCTCTGCAGGCTGCCGCTAGAAAGTCGATTCCGCAATGCTTCACCTCACAGAAGAGCTGTGAGGACCAGACCAACACTTGCTCCGGCAACGGCAAGTGCGTGAACAAGTGGGGAGGCAAGAACGGTACTGTCGAGACCAGCGGCGGCAGCTGCTTCGTTTGCAAGTGCCTGGCCACTCCCGATGGTGACCAAACTAAGCACCAGAAGTTGAAGCATTGGGGCGGTAACATGTGCCAGAAGGAGGATGTCAGCATGCAGTTTTGGCTTATTGCCGGGTCTACCATTGCCCTTGTCGGCGCTGTCGCCTTTGCCATTGGACTGTTGTTCGCTGTGGGCGAGGAGAAGATGCCCGGTGTTCTGGGCGCTGGTGTGGTTAGGGGGTCATCGACTAAGTAAGGTCATGAAGACTGAAGAAAGAGCTGAGAACTCTCGATGACGGAAACGGGCAAAAGAGGATGACAATGCTCAGAAAAAGAAACAGAGAACCATCATTACTTGTCGGTTAGATACGGAGGACATGGGGTGTGCGCGTGGTGTAATCAGACATCCTTAGACTGTTGGCTGGTTGTACCATTATTGATTTTACCTTGTTCAACGGCGTCGGCATCATTGACAGGCAGGCAGGCGGGCAGGGAAGGAATGTGGTATGGTTACGAAACGCAAACTACGAGCTAGGAGATGGGCATGGTTTCCTTTCGTTTTTCACATGAAGACCTAGTATAACACAGACAATGACAACGGAATGAAACTTGGGTTAAGTTTGCACGGAGTACTGCCTGTGATTGAAGACCTCAACTGATTGTTGTAACCCCTGGTAGACTAGGTCTGCTTTAACTCTTATGTCCATCGTACTCACATCGCCATCTCGGTGTCCATATCATCAGGCCCCTTTTCCTGCGTTGGCGTCCCAAGGCTTTCCAACCCCCTCTCCCTTGGAGTCGCAGCTAGATCTGCCGCAAACCCAGGCGGTAATGGCCTCAAAGGCGATTGCATGACAAACCTGAAGGTATCACCAGGTGTGCTCGCCCCCGTAGCAGCAGCGGCACTCGTAGCGGCCGTCGCCGCCGCACTGGCAGCAGTAGCACCGGCGCCAGCACCAGCACCAGCACCAGCACTACCCATAACAGCCTGATACTTGGCCCCCGCCTGATTCAATATCTCCTGCACCTCGGTCTCCCTGCTCAATATCTCACCCTTTTCCTTCTCCAGACTCTCTATCCTCGCCTTCCGTCTGCTCACCTCATCCTCCAACCCTTGCACCAGACCCCTCATCCTTGCCAACACCTCGCCCAGCTCCGGAAGCGGTTTCATCTTGGGAATCTGGTTTACTCCCCCTCTTTCCTCGTCAATCTCCATCAAGTCATCCTCCGGTTTCTGCAGCCCGTCCATCCCCGCTCGCCTTTGCGCGGCCTCGTACGCAGCCCGTCGCTCCGCCTCGCTGTCGTCGCTCTCAGCATCTGAACCGGCCTCCGCCGCCTGGATCATCTCTGCCATCTCCTGCCGGTGTCGCTTGGCGGCTTCGCGCTCGGCTTTGCGGCCCAGCGCTAGGGAACCGTCCGTCACGAATTCGTCGTAGCCTTCGCCTAGGTCTTCGTCTTCGGCTATCAGGCGCGATTCGGACTTCTTGGGCTTTTTGTTGAGGTTGCTTAGTGTGACACGTTTTCGGTCGTCGTTGTCCGAGTGGTCGGAGTCGTCGAGCGAGATGAAATTGTGTTCCTTGGCCAGGCGCGCGCGCCGTTCTTTGCGCTCGCGGATCTCGGCTTCGCTGAGGATGTGGGCTGCTGCTGCTGACGGGCCCGCATCGCCGGTGCGCGCTAGGGGGAGGTCGCGGGATGGTACGATCATGGCGCCGTCGAGCTCGGAGGGGTCGAGGTCCATCGCGTCGTCTGTCCCTGTCCCTGTTCCAGGCGCAGACGTCTCGGGCTGAGCTTTGAGGCTGTCGTCGTCGTCATCGTCGATGATACTTAGCGACGCGAGGTTCTGTGGTGTGGCTGGCGTGGAGCTTTGGAGCTCTTCGAGGTACTCTTTGCTGTATCGAGGCTTCTCTTCGTCGGCGCCAAAGGTGCCGAATCGTGCGGTCAGGGCTGATTTGCGTAGCGCGTTCTTCTCGGCTACTCGTTGGCTTAGCGATTTCTTGCTGGGTGCGCTGGCCACGTCGCTGCTGGCGGTTGTTGTCGTGTCATTGCCGCCGTCTTCTGTGTCGTCTTCGCTGGCTCCGAATGAGACTTTCGGGACGCGCTTCTTCTTGCTGGAGGCGGAGCGACCGAAGCCAGGCCGTACTACGAGCGGCACACCAGTGTCTTCCTCATCTTCCGCCGCACCCGGTTCCGTGCTTGTACCAGTTGACGCAGGTTTGGCTGCATCGCCGTTGGTGTCTGGTGTGTCGTCGTTATCATCGTTGATCTTGATCGTTCTTCGTAGTGACGAGGATTTAGCAGGCTTGCTGCGTCCAAACTTGATCGGTCCTTGTGGTACTGGTTCTGTTCGGAAGGCGTATCAGCTTGCTTGTTCTTTGGTTTGGTATCAGCACTGAAAGTTTCTATGCTGGGTATGAATGGGTATTTGCCATGTAGCAACTTACGTTCTTTCTTGGGCTCCTCTCCTCCAAGCAGCGTAGGAAGGTCGCCATCCTCATCGTCAAAAGTCTGGATGATGCGCGGCTTGCGCTTTCCGAAAGAACTCATTTTTGACGTGTTCAATCTAAAAGACCCTAGCAAGTTGGTTGACAAAGAATTGGCAAACGCGATGTGTTGTGGCGAGTGTGGTGTCGTGGTTCTAAAAGTGGTCTAAAGCAATTGTGAAGCTCCAGAATGCACTTGGAGAATGACGCTGGCGGGCACCTGGAATGTCACTGAGCGATGACCGCCCCCAAAGACAACGCGAATTGCGGGTTTCTTTATCTTTATCAATAGCCCCACGTGATGGCTTGGCAGTCCAAAAATCACTGGGGAGAGTCGCGAGTGCACAAGGCCCGCCTTCCAAGTCGTTCAGTGGAGAGTTCCAGCCAGAACGACGCCATTGCCATTGCAGCAACTGAACTCTCTTGAGAGCATCCCAGACAATCAACACAACCTCAAGACAACAATGGCGCCCGCACAACCCGAACTCAAGAAGGTACGTTAATGTTCTTGAATATCTGACTTGAACATTACATGGCGCCTAGCTGGTCGACACTTTACCATTGTCGCATTGAGAGCGCCATGTTATTGTTTGTTTAGTATGATGCAGCGAAGCTAACCGATCACTTTCCAACCAGTACCTCGACAAGAGGCTCTTCGTCCAACTTAACGGCAGCCGCAAGGTCATCGGTGTTCTCCGTGGCTACGATGTACGAGACCTTCCCTTCTTTTACGAATTCGAACATGGTAAACTGATGGTTTTGCGACGTCATAGGTCTTCCTGAACATTGTTCTGGACGATGCTGTTGAGGAGAAGGATGGTGGTGAGAAGGTCAAGCTTGGCATGGTGGTATGTTCATTCTTTCAAAAGGCAAATGTTGTCGTGTCTTTTTGGCTAACGACTGTCTACACAGACCATCCGTGGTAACTCCGTCGTGATGATGGAGGCCCTCGAGAGGATCGGCGGCGACGAGAGGGGAGGACAGCGCGGCTAGATCAACGATTACCTTCTCGCAGCACGATAAAACGACCCCACGCATTCACATAAGCCTAACACCAAAATGCGAGGCATCGGAAATAAGCGGATGGCAATTGACGGGATTTGATTATATACCAAAGGCGATTTACACAGTTTTACGACGACATCTATAATGTCCCACCCACGCACGGTCTCGGACGGTGAAAAGGTTTGGTGGGCTGGTACGGCGTTCAGTTTACCAACGAGGCATGTATTCGGGAAAGCTGCATTATCTTCAACTTAGAAAGAAAGGGGGAAACATCCGCGGCGGTTGGTCGAAGAAAGATACCCAAAGGACTATTTTTACGTACGGCCCGTCTCCGACAACAGCTGCTTCCACGTCTTCTCGTCATAACCGTCCATCATGCGGTCGCCGTACATCCGCACCCAGCCTCGAATCCCGCCCGTCATTACCTGCGACTGAAGATCGCCGCCTGCTTCGTCGATATAGTCTTGCATCCAGGCGGCACATCGAGGACCCCGACCGGCGGAGGAGCCTGTGGAATGAAACATCGGTGTTAGGTAGGGTCAATGGAGGTATGGCCTGGAAGAGCATAGAGTCGGTTGGACTCTGACCTGAGAGTCCATGAGAGAGAATGTCAGAAACGTACCACAATAGAAGATCACCTTTTGGATCCCGGCCTGTTTGCACAACGCGTACAAGCTCTTGCGCGTGGGGTAGAAGCTATGGGCGGGTAGGTTGATTGACGAGCTGACAGTTCCACCCGTGCAGTCTGTCCGGCGACAATCGACGAGCAAGAATTTCTGCGGTTGCGGTTGGTGGTCGACATGTTCTTGCTGTTCAAGAAGTTCAAGCACGGTCTGCGGCTCGATATGGGCGGGCGTCGAAGTTGGCTCTGGGAATGCTGCCCACCACGGTGTGCCATCCTCGCGCCTAGCCATGCGCAAGCAATGTTCGTGAACGTGTATCGTCATGTTGAGGCTGTCGCTGAGGTACTATGTTATTGACTGATGTTGTAGGTCAAAGTCGAACCAGTCTGTCTACTCTTGATGCTTTGTTCGATGTAGGTAAAGGTAACAAGGGCAGTCAGGGGTAAACTGTTTGTTCACCCTGCGGACTACAAAGACTGGGGCGGCTCTTCCCAAGTTCTAGTCGCATCTTTCAGCAAGCCACGCCGCCATAACTCATTTCACGGGAAGAGTCCCTTGGTAGCCGCGGCCTATCATAAACCACTTGCCTCGTACGATCGGGCCTGCCGTTTTCCACCGACGAGATGTACCTAGGAGACAGAAGTAGTCCTTCCTACGTATCGACTGTTACTTCATGGAACTTTCCAGGGTATCGCCGCTGAGTGGAATTGCCAGGCGGGTGTTTTGATCGGCTTCATCAACGCGGTATTACTACCTTGACTCCTTGGTTTACAAACACTCTAGTACCTATGAGCAGGTTATCACACTTATTATCCATATTCACATGTTTTGCCCATTTACCCGTAGATGAGTGATGTCTCCGAGATCTTGGTTCACCTGGCCCGGCATATTAGGGGTATATGACACCCATAACAGATTGTGCAGTGGTTATATCAGTTGCATCAAGACGAAGTGCATCAAATACTTGGAGATTGTTGGATGGAAAAAGACTAAACTACATCGTTTAGAAGGTATAAAGTAGCAGGAACGCTCCCACGAAAAGCCCAGCAGCTCCCGACTCCCGAGAGCTGCTTCCTAATCTAGCACAAATCATCATCATCGTATAATTCCACCGTCAACAAATCATCCCTCCGTGCACCTCCAAGTCACCTAGTTTTCGGTTTCATTGACCCGTTCAGTCATCATAGTACGCCTCCTCAAGCTCTTCTTCATACTCCTCTCTCGCCTCCTGGAGCTCTTCCAGGTCACTACTGCTGGCAGAAGACGACTGTGCCTCTTCTAGAGCCTCCTCGTAATCCCTACGGGCGGAAGCGATCGACTCGCGATCACTCCGGTCGATCTCCTCACCATACACATTGTGCGTCGGAATGGGACCATCAAGAGGCGGCTCCTCAGGGGCAGGGGGAGGCGGAGCGCCGTAATTACCGTAACCGCCACCGTAGTAATTGTCGCCGCCATAGGCAGCGGGAGGTGGTGGAGGAGGAGCGGAGCGCTGCTCATTATCGGAGTCGGAGTCTTCGGCTACATCAAAAGTTAGTGACCATTACGTCGTAGCACGGGGTTGCCGCGGGGAGATGGGGAGATGAAAACTTACCAAGCTCATGAGCAATAACGGCGCCACCAATAGCGCCAACAGCCAGACCAGCAGCTGCACCCATGTACAGACCACTATTATCCTTCTTCTTCTCCTTTACCGGCTCGCCACCATACGCCTGCTGCTGATGCTGGTCATAACCACCGTAGCTTTGCGGCGGCGGGGGCTGCTGGTAACCGCCATACTGCTGCTGGGGTTGTCCGCCATATCCATAGTCGGGGGCACCACCACCACTGTGGCCTCCTCCATATCCACCGTAACCGCCTCCGCCACACTGTTGCGGGGGAGCAGAATACGAACTATCGCCGTAGCCGCGGGTCTCTTGCTCACCACCGGAAGCGAGGCTGGACCTCTCAAAACCGGGGGCTTCCCATTGCGAGCGGCCGGTGGCCTCTTCAACGTAATACCATCTCTGATACTCGTCGTCCCACTTCGGGTTCCAGCCAGACGGAAGGGGCGGCTTGTCGGAGGGAGGGTTGTAAGGCGGCGCTGGCCTGGAAGTGTAGCTAGGAACGCCGGGAGGGGCAGTGTAGCCTGGCTGTTGGGGAGAGTACTCTCCTTGGTAGCCGGACTGCTGGGGAGGAGGGTGTTCGTAGCTGCCGCCGTGGTAGGGAGGCTGCTGGGACTCTCCTTGAGGAGGCTGAGGGGAATAGGATTGTTGCGGCGGCTGCTGCTGAGGAGGGGGATAGTAATCGCGCGAAGCTGGTGGACAGAGTGAGTGATGGATCTTTGGACCTGGAAAGTGATGATATGGTGTTGCGGCTGTGGCTTACCGGAGTAGCTCGGCGTGCTCGGCTTTTCCTCCTTGTCGACAAGACCTAGCTTGCCGAGATCTTCGACGAGGTCCTTCTTGAGCTTCTTGAAGAACGACATGGTTACAATTCAGCTTGCTCTGTCTCCAAGAGGTGGCTGTGGGTTGCTGTGGTGTAGCGGAGCAAGAAGAAGTGGAAAGCTCCGGGTTGACGGAAAGGTGACAAAAGAGGTCACTGCAATGAGCACGATCTGCCTTTGAGAACCTTTAGGGACAGATATTCAAGCTTTGATTAGCAAGGCTCGGCACGGCACTAGGGGCAGGATGGATACCAGACGAATATCAAACGCCATGCTTGCAGGTCATGTACGCACAAGGGCACGCAATCCAATGCTCGGCGTGTTGGCTGCCTCCGAAATGCCCATACCTACCATCTTGTCATCCTCCACCTGTTTTCTTGGAGTAACTGTGCCATCCGAACCCAAAAGAACCCCTCCTAATGACCCCTCCTCCGCAAATGAAGGCCCCAGTTTTTCATGGAAATAAGTACAAGCAGTTCTGGCTGTTGAAGCCAAGAATAACTCCCCTTATGCTTGAATATCTCGGCGTGGTCAAGAATGGAAAGAGGGAGATAAGAAGAAGTCTTGGAATGGAATGATACGGAAGATGATGCATCCATTGCATCCACCGAATGCCACTGTAGCCGTGCCATACATAGCAGCTGGTGTGGGGAGCTCTTGCTTTTGGGGTCTTGGGTTCCCCGCTACTGCTCCCGATGAACCACTAAAATCACCGCTGGCTCATCTGGACCCCAACTCCTTCAGTGTTGTCGGCCGTCGTTTCCGTTCCAGGGACCCCGATCGCGGGGACGGGATGGCAGCAGTTGGGAGGCAACCAGCAAACCCCAGGCTCATGGTACAGCGGGATGACGCGCGGTTTCAGAGACTCCATTGCAGTTCCAGCTTGGCGTGTGAGACACAGCTGAAGCAGAAACAACGAACACACTGCCTTCCTCGCTCTTCACATGGGACTTTGTTGCACAACAGAACTTTCTCCCAGTTCCTCTTTTTGTCCTCTCTCCACTTCACTCTTTCTCGTCTTTGCGAATCCCTCCTTCATCGATCACCGACTGATCTTCACCAATGTCGTACGGATATCCTGGACAAGGCTACGGCCCCGGTGGTGGGGGACAACACCACCAACCTCCTCCTCCTCAGTGGGATGGCCAGCAGCAACAACACCACCAGCAAGGAGGTTATGGCTATTCAAATCCGGGACAGGGCCAGTACAACCCTCAGCCTCCTCACGACCAGGGCTACGGAGGGTATCACCAACAACCTCCTCAGCACCATCAGCAAGGCGGCTACAACCAAGGGCAGTATCCCCCACAGGGCGGATATGAGGGACAACACCACCAGCAATACCCCCCACAGCAACATCACCAACAGGGACACTCCCAACGCCCCTCTGGTCCTCCTCCCGATGGCTATGATATCTACGGCTACCCAATCGGTTCTGGTCACCAGGCTCGTGACCAGGGACAGCACCGCTCCCAGGAGATTCACGAGATTCCTTCGGGCACACAGCAGTTTGGCCATGGTGCTCCTGAAGACTATAAGTTCCAGTACTCCAATTGCTCAGGTCGTCGCAAGGCATTGCTGATTGGCATCAACTACTTCGGCCAGGACGGCGAGTTGCGCGGCTGCATCAACGACACTAAGAACGTCTCCGCCTTCCTCGTCGAGAACTATGGCTATAAGCGCGAGGATATGGTCATCCTCACCGATGACGCCACGAACCCCCTCTTGCAGCCCACAAAGGAGAACATCCTCCGTGCCATGCAGTGGCTAGTCGCTGGTGCTCAGCCCAACGACGCCTTGTTCTTACATTACTCCGGTCAGTTTACCTTTCCTTCCTCAACCATGCCCTACCCGCGTGCTCCTACTGACTAAGCGACACGTCAACAGGCCACGGTGGGCAGACTGAAGATACCGATGGCGATGAGGAAGACGGCTTTGATGAGGTCATCTACCCCATCGACTTCAAGACCGCCGGTCACATCGTCGACGATGAGATTCACTATACTGTCGTGAAGCCCCTCCAAGCTGGTGTGCGCTTGACTTGCATCTTCGATAGCTGTCACTCCGGCTCCGTTATGGATCTGCCCTATATTTACAGCACCAAGGGCGTGGTCAAGGAGCCCAACCTTGCCAAGGAGGCTGGTCAAGGTCTGCTTGCCGCTGTTGGTTCCTATGCTCGTGGCGATATTGGAGGCATGGCTAGCAGCCTGTTCTCCGTCGCCAAGACAGCATTTGGCGGCGGAAATGAGGCCTATGAGCACACCAAGCGGACAAAGACATCGCCTGCCGATGTTATCATGTGGAGTGGAAGCAAGGACGACCAAACTTCGTACGTTGCCATCTTCCCCCTTTGAAAGTTGACTTGGGTTCGGTCATACGGGATGGAAAATACTAACACTGATCTCAGAGCCGACGCGACCATTGCATCCCAGGCCACGGGTGCCATGTCCTGGGCCTTCATCTCTGCCATCAAGGCGAACCCCAAGCAGAGCTACGTGCAGTTGCTCAACAGCGTCCGCGACGTGCTGGAGACTAAGTATACGCAGAAGCCTCAGCTCTCCAGCAGTCACCCAATCGGTACGTTTTCTCTTTGTATCCACCACCCCCTTTTCGCTGCGTCTTCCATGTCGTCATCGATAAAGCCAAGTGCTCAGAAACACGCCGGGCGTCGTTTTTTTCGAATAATCTCATCTTGAGCCAAGGGAATCAAACACTAACATATTGCGAAATTATCTAGATGTCGACATGCTCTTCGTCATGTGATTTTGCCGGCATTATACCGCCCGCTCCCTTCTTCAGCTGAGCAAGGTTGTCGGTTCGCTCCGCATCAATGTCCATCCTTTCCTACCCACGTTTCTCTCTCTCGCTTCGGCCAACCTGCATTCATCGGATCGTACAATGCCGATCTGGTGAAAGAGGAGGAGCAAAGAGAGAGCCGAGAGAGAGCCCCGAGGTTGCGAACGTGGCACTCATGGTGGTTGTGGGCCGCCCTGTCGATCTACTCCTCAATCCACTTATAGTGTAAGGGGCACCAGGGGGTCGTCAAAACTTCGAAGCCCCTGGAGATCGTCAACTTGATATACCCCCTCCCTAGCGGAACTCTCAAAAAGATCAGCGAAACACTCGGACAGGATCGGAGGGGACAAGGGCAAGGGGAAAGAAATATTTTTTCCTCTCATATCAAACTTGTCAGCTGAAGACAAGGGGTCCAATTGCGCAATTGGTAAGGGAGGCTCGGGAGGGAAGAAGGAAAATAGGGCAACATCTCAAAACTTGGAAGGAGATGGGGATCACGATCTTGATATAGGAAATCGGCACGGAGGTACCTAATGGATAATGACTGTTATTATTCACGGGCTGAATGTAACCCTCGGACTTGACCCATTTCCTCGGGGACCTGCGTTCGTAGATCAGAGCATGGGGAGCACATGGCATGTACGCCGACCGAACCGTTTCCTGGGAGCTTGTGAGGCGAGGAAAAAAGAAAGCACATAACATGGTATGGTGCAATTGAACACGCTCATTGGCGGGAGTACGAAATACAATATCCTGGAGTTATCTTCACCTTTATATCGGCATATCCCATGGTTATGGTTGAAGAGCCTATTTTTGAAAGAGATCTCGATCGAATATGTCCTGCAGGAACATAACATACATAGATGGTGATGCGAATATGACTTGTATGATCTTCCGTGTCTATCCCGGATTAAAGTCCATGTCGGCGAATTTTTGCCGTCATGGTATGTTGATAGTGCAGGGTAATAGACGTTATGTAGTGAACGACGATAGTCGTGAAGATGCGACTAACATGTCGAGCCCCATTTGGGTATATCATACAAGTCCCTATTGTCTTATTTAGATTTCTGAATTTTTGCGATGAATTTGGTAGTTACGAATATGTATAGACTATCACAGGTTGATATCATCAGCCAATTTGTCCCTGGATGTGAATATGGTGCTGTCCTGTATTGTTGTTTGATTGAATAGTTTGTTTTACAGCATTAGTACTTTGTCCCTTTACCAATGATATAGTAGTTTTATATCCGAGTCCCTGTAGAATAATCTACAGGTTATCGTATCGCGGTGGTATCGTAGTGTGTTTTGTCTCGAGCTGGGCCAGCCTGGTCAATTTGGATTAAGATAGTCAGGTTGCGTTATGTGTAATTTCTAGTGTCTGTATTTGTTGAGGTATATGTAGTCCGGTCTTGTCCCTGTCCTTCACGGCTCACATTACCAGTAACCGATGTAAGCAGAGCAAAGCAAAGAAAAAGAGTGTGGGTGGTAGTCTGATGATGAGCAGGAATGAGGATGTGGCACTGGAAAAAGAAGTGAACAACACAACTCGTGCTTTTATACATACATCTTGTTGTTTGAAGATTTTTGCTTTTTGGCCCTATAATACTACTGCTTTTCCTTCCTCCCATTTGACCGACCCTCAACAGGGACTGGTTCAGATACCCGGTTGCTAACATACCTAACTAACAATACAAGACAGACAGCATATACACAACTTTTGTTTTAGATATTATACACTAGACAAACAAGCCACAAGGATGAACATGACGTAACGATGGTAAATGGGTATATTGGTAAAAGGGGAAAGCGGAAGAATGTTGGGGAGAGTTGAAAGGACGTTAAGAGAGATGAGAGACAAGAGGAGATAGGAGATATAATTGGTTAGGGAGAAAGAGACCTAACAGACACGTGCAGTCCAATCTGGTATGATGATAAGAGAGAGGAAGATGGGGGAATGTGAAAGAATGTAGTAGTGGTGATAAAAGTGGTAATACACAAGTTTCGACATGATTGGGGATATTGCTGGCTGATCTCTTCTTTTTGTAGTCTTCAGCCAGCCCAAACTCATCAAGATCACATGACCACATCCGTTGTTGTACATGATATAACATAAACATAATGAGAGAGGGAGGGGCGGTGGAGAACAAGGCTAACTGCTTGCTTCTCACTCGCTGGGTATGTAGGTGGAATAAAGATCGTGGAAGATTTGGAGGTTGAATCACATTAACGATAGTATTTCTCATTGCGTACTGATGTTGATTTTCTTTTCTTCTTTTTTTGTGCTTCAAGCCCGAATGAGTGGCTTTAGAAAGCCTAGTGCCTTGTGCAGACTCTTCCTGCTCCTTACGGTCTCATCCTGAGAAACGAAAGAATCCCCAGAGTCTCGCCTCTCACGGACGTACTTGGGCCACGTGTTTGTGAGCACGAGGTACTTGATGCTAGACTGAGCGGCATCAAAGACGGCAGCGTCAAAGGTTTGTGGGATATCGCCCGAGTAGTACAGGGCTGCGTTACGGGGATGCGTGGCGTGGGAGGTCGGTGGTGGGTCATCAAGAGCGAGGGTCTCGGCAGACTTGAACTCGCTCATGGGGGTCATGGACACCACTAGCGAGTCCGACTTGGAGACAATATTAACCTCGCTGTCGTTTGTGGGCTTGATCGATCCGGACCAGTTGACTTCCGCGAACGGTGTGGCTCCACCGCGGTTGATATCTCCGTACGTGTTCCTAGCGGCACGCTCGAAGATGCCCTCAAGCTTACGCAGCTCGTGCCACGCAATGTTGATGGGGAACTCGGCGTCTCTGGTGCTGATGAACTCGGCATAAATGCGAAGCGCCTTGGTGAACTGCTGGCGGACAACATCGGGTTCGGCGTTGTGACGGTTGCGGACAAAAGGAGGCGGCAGAGCGGCCTTCCACTCAGCCACGGCAGTGAGGAATGCAATGTTCTCGCCCGAGAAATCGCGACGGGCAGAGAACTGACGAAGGGGTTCTGGGTTCTTTTCCAGGACGTGCTCAAGAGCGGACATTGTGAGAACGCTGTCATCGGTGGCGTCCTTGAAGTCTGGTTGAGTTCCGTGGCCCATCTCCATGGTCGAAAGCTTCTTCCATGAATCTCTGACTGCGGTAGTGAAATGATGTTCACCGACCTTGGTTGAGGTTGGGCTAAGAGCAGGTCCGCTCTGGTCGCTGCCCCTACGCTCGCCATTGCCGTCGTCGCTACGGGCGCGCATCTTCTTGGTCTCCCAAGTGGCAATCGACTCAAGCGTCTCCTGGCGCAGGTTATTGTGCTTACGAACCTGCCAGCAAGGGACAAAGATGGTGAAGATCTCCATGAATATGATGGAGAGACCGATCCTGTTTGAACCATTAGTTAGAGATTGCCCTCTGGCGAAGAAGGAGAGCGCTCTACATACCATTGAGGGGGGACGAAAACCTTGTTCACCACAGACATCTTGGGAACGTAAAGAGCAATGAGCCACATAGGAGCCGCAGGCAAGCCAGCAATGCAGCAGGCCATAGTTTGAAGCTGCCATCCGTGGGTGTCGCGGATACCACGAGACTTCCAAAGAATGACGGGAGCAATAACCCAAGCCCAGAGGAACTGCCAGAACAGCGAAGGCCACCACTCCCAACCACGGCCCTGCTGCATAGCAATCTCCGAAGCGGTGCCGTACACCTCAGTACCGGGGATGCCAAAGCTGGGGTGGAACTTGCGCGAAACCATGTAGATGATGATGACAACAAAGAGCTAAGCGAGGTTAGAGACGAGCCGTGTAAGCTTTAATGGTGGTACTCACTTGAACGATCATGCCTATGGTAATGTAGGCAAACATCCTCTTTGAATAGTCCATCTTGCGCAAGCGGGCGATAAAGGTAAGCTTCTGTGGCGGTTGCTGGGCATGCTTTTCATCGAATCGAGACTCCATCTGGCTCGGAGGACAAGCATACCGAGCCTGTGCCCTTGCGACATGAAGGAACTGACTGTTGCCGGCTTGGAAGAGGGCAATTCCGAAAGGAAACCAAATGCTCATGATCCAGAACTCGGCGACTTCGGGGGCCATAGGACCGATACTGTAACCCAGCTGAACAGAGATCCAGTAGAGATGGAGAAGTGTGATGCCAGCAAAACTGAGAGCAAGTCCGCGTATCCTAAGGGTTGGGATATCACGTCTGAGCCAAAGGAAACCATGCCAGCCACCACCGCCGTCGTCCAGATAGCACCCCATACAATCCACCAAATACCAATGGCATCGAGTCTCGGTTCTGGCTTGGTGTCGGGAGTGGTGCCAAATTCGGAGCCCAGAACCTGCGCCTGGGCAGCGGAGAAATCGGCTCGTTGTATTAGGCGTGGCACAAACATGATGTCGGATGTTGTAGTGTCGACGTCGAGAGGAGCGGAGCGGGTTATGGATATAGGTCGAAGCGACTCGGAATGTCGTCAAGACACGTGGGAGGCTTAACCACTAATGCGCAGTGTCATCTAGTAGTATTGAGTGGTTGGTATCGGACCAGTAGTAGGTGTTGTTGATGTTTGTTGAAACGAGTGTGGTGAGTGTAGGCGAGCCAAGTGGGTTTTGTATCCGCCTAAGAACCAAACCCGTATGCAGAGCGACAAAAGAGCGACTGGAGCTGGACGTAACAGGAATAAAGAGAGTGTAATGGTGTGCGGCTCAGCTCACGATATGTAAAGCCAAAAACAGATGTGATGAGATGCACGGAGTATGTATGTAGTCCCCGTGGGCGATGCCGAGAGAGATGGGAGAAGTTGAACAAGCCACATCCGAGGACGGGCACATGAATGATACATCACTGCTTCTGCGGACACTTGTGTGCAAACCAGCTCGGTAAATGATGTCCAGGATAGCCCCAGGATGCCAGGATGTGCACGATGGTGCAGGATGAGTTTGCAAGAAGTGGTTAGGGGGAGTGTAGATCCCGCGGGATACCTGGACATGGTGTGAACATGGGACTCTTTCCACTTCTTCTTGGAGCGCTGGGAACCCAGTGCGTGTAGACCTGCATATCCGGTTCTATTCCCAGCGTCACTCATTGCGCCCAGCTGCCCGATGGAGGATGCAGTGAGTCCGCTATCTCGCAAATCTGAGAGCCATCTCTATGTGTCTGCTGCGCCAATCACAACCTTGACGAGCTTGCGCCTACTTGGCGGTTTCCGTCATTGCCGAACATGTCTGGACTGTGCAAGGCGAAGGGGGATCACGCAGTGCTAGATACCGTGACAGTGTGAACGGCGGAGGGAGAGACACTTGAATCTTAGTGTAAGTGGGCCAAGAAGAGTCAGAGACATATCCAGACAGGCAGGTCAACGGCCCGAACAGGAATACCCATACTTTGTAAAAGTGGTGTACGTAGTTTGTATAAGAGGAGAGCACTTGGGCCTGTGATTGCAGATCGTTTCATCTCTCTGCCCAAAGCTCCATCATCATCACATTTGCTGGTTCCCATGTGCCCAGTGGACCCCCCTATTGCCATGTTTAGTGTATCATCCAGAGCTCGTGAGCCCAAGGCGCTGGCTCGTTGGTCGGCAGATGGCTTGCAGAGGGCAGCGTGGTGGAAGCGAGTTACTTCTCCACGTCCATGTCGAGCACTGTGGGGATGGTGTTTACATGGTTGCTAGAGGAGCGCCAAGTTGATGACGAAGAAATGAAGACAGCAGAGAAGGACTTTTTCTCCAGGAACAAGGTATGGGATGGCGCCAGACGACTGCGAGGGAAGGGCAAAAGAGAGTCGCTGTTGGGCCGGAGATGATGGATACTCTAGGTTGGTGTTGACGACTAGACAGGGGAACATGATTCAGGAACACACTCCCCACAGCACAGCCAACCCTCAGAGACACCCTCCTGGTAGAGGTTGACTCGGCAAGTGTCTCTCCCTGCTTGGCGCACTAAGCTCATTGTGTGGGCTCTAGATTGCCATAGCGCTCTTTGGCTCTGTCGATCGCCATTCCAGCGTGCCGGCGACTGCGCGGTACTTGGAAGACGGAACGTCGCAGTACAAGTGGATGAAGGAATCACGACTTTGAGTTTGGGGAACCTTGGTGGTTGTACCTAGGTACCTAGTGTTGCTGAAATAAAAGGATCCTCAGCTCATTCAACCGTGAGCAGGTATTTTGGGCTCGTTCCCTGTGTCCAGCTTTTGAGGGTAGCTTGATGGTGGGCGGTCTTGCCGGCGGCGACGAGGGTTTTGTCGACACTCGTCTGATTCTCAACGCCATGTCTGTGACTGGGTCATGCTGTCTTTGCCGACTTGACAGTCTCGGAGTCAAGAGGGGTTACTGTCATGGAGGCCTTTGCGAGCAGGGTAAATGCGTGAAAGCCATGTGGTTTTCAATTCCAGAGAATGTGGTTTGGAGAGAAAAGGCATCAGGGCAGTTCGTCTCGTTCGGTGTCGTTCGTCCGGAGGTTTCAAGCTTGGCACCTGCAGCTCCGAGTATCATGGGGCTGCTGCCGCTGTCAGCACCTGTCAAGCCTGCTTATTGGTCCCGTTTGGGTTGACATTTGTGGGATCTGTGAGAATCTCCGCACCCAAGATCCATCAAAGCTTGGCATCCAAGACCCGCTAGTACGGATCCGGTCACAGATCTACGCACCTAATTTTGTGGACCAGGACCAGGACTTGCCCGCTGGACCAAAGTACGCTGTACCTTCTGTCTTCGGCGGCATCGGCTCACCTTCAGGGACGTCGCGCGAGGTTGTTAGTGCACTCCTCCTTTCCTCCATACAATCTCCCCCTTCGGGCCCCTTCAGTTCCTTCCTCACTCAACCCTCTTGGACGCCCTTGCCCTGCTTCGCCAACGTACCGAAGATGAACATCCACCCCGCCGCCAATCGTGAGGAAATGACTGGCAGCATCGACCCGGTCCTGCTCGGTTTCCTCTTTCCGCCCTCCATCTTGATCGAGCTTGGTGCTGGCAAGTAAGATCGGGTCTGGATCGAGAGCGAGGTGGAATCCCTCATTAGCTTTCGGGAGTGACATCCATCTCTTTACGTCAGATGTCTCTATTCTTTCTCTGCTAAAGATGCTAAAGCCCATGTCGTCGACCTTGCAATTTCATGACCGTCTATGGGCGTCTGGCTTTTCCGGCAGATCAACACTCACGACACCATCAGCTTTCCCATCACCTCACCTCATGACTCCTCCATTGTTATCTATCCAAAAATGGCACTAAAAACCCGTTCGAGCCGTTGTAACTAACTGGTGAGTAAAATCCTTCCCGTTGTTTGACGCTTGTCCTACCAGTTCATCCGTGGATGGAGACGGATGGATCCGTCCCCCCTTGTGACGTAAAGGTGTCTAAAGTAAGACATTGCAATGACAATGACCTTCAATTTTGAAAGTGGTATGGCTTTATCACGCACACCATCTTGGAAATAACGAAATGCGACTCTCGACCGTTATCAACACCAAACAGCCCGGAGAATCAAGATATCTACGGATTTACTGGTTCCCCAAGAAATGTGAATGATCTGCTTTATCGATGTGATACACTGATCGCAAATCCCCAGGTCCTGTATGATCTACGCAGAGCACGGGGGATGTACGACATGAGGGAATCACGATGGGCTCTGCGATGCAACACAGCGTGAAAGGATCAAATTGAGGTCCATGCTGAACCCCCGGATTGCCAGATTGCTAGATTTCGTACCCTTTTCTCGCTTCCCAGACTTTCCTGATCCAGACAGACGAGCCAGACGGACTGCTACCATCGCATCCCGCATTCGCAGCCTTCAGTTCCCTGTCGTCTCTCTGTTCTCTCGCTCGCCAACCACTGCTACCTTGTTTGCGATTGGACACCACAGTTCCCTTGCTGTGTGCGGGATCGAGGACCTTGCTGTTTGGGTGCTGTAAGCCAAATGCGGCATTACGCCCTGGCTTAAAGCCCCCCCGAGAGGTTATTCCGAACAAGCATCATCCACGACGGACACTGCATATACTGTACAAGAAGTACGATGTTATATAGCGGAGAGTCCCTTATTTTCGGTTCCCTCCTTGGCCTCTCTATTCTTTTTATCTCCTTCTTCAAACTCACTTCATTCCCGCTGCTTCATCGCTCACAAACAGTAGTCCGACAATGTTCGGTGATTTTTGCGGTCTTCCATCCAGCCACAATCTTCGATTGCATCTCGATTTAGAGGACCCCAATTCAAGAGTTGATTGTCCGTCTCTCTCGCGACTCAACTACCACATCGTTACAACCTCGGTTGGAGTTAATGCTGGTCCCCATGGCCACACTGCAAGGGAGAGTCGTATGTAACCAAGGGGCTGGGTATACAAAAGAAACGCTGTTCTCGCCAGCCCCTTTTAACGTTCCTTCTTCCAGTCCTACATAAAACCGAGGCGTGCACCGCAAATTCTCAGAAAAATTCAAGCGCGCAAGCGCCGAAATGTTGGCTGTGCACCGCAACACTTGATCTAGTCGCACTAGCCTTTTTTCCCAGCACCATCACCATTGGAAGAATCATCAGGTTTTCACGCCGCTAACTGTGTTTGTGGAGGATCAGATGATGTTGTGTTATAGTCCCGTAGGATTGTTTGCTTGATCGCTCTCGATTCAGCGCAAAGTGATATATGCATGATGCACGTCAGGTTCGCTCCTAAGCTACACTTCAGCGCGGCTATATCGCGGCTGCGGCAAAGGTAGGTAGGATGAGGTTATGTCGCTCTGATGCACAGGTTTGTTGCATTCATGGGACTTGCTGAGGAAACTATTGTGTCTATTCCAAGGTTCAACTACCGCTAAACCTCACTGTTGTATTAAGTGTGCTGAGGCTGAGAAAAGACTTGCCCGTAACCCCTCCTTTTAGGGTCCAACGGTGATACTATCCGTGTGAACGTCTCGAGGAAGTTGAGTGTCTTGCCTTTGGGTACTAGAGTCCGAAGTACCTACACAGTACGTCTACCGAAGACATCGTGCCGTGAAACTTGAGGTGGCTACAATCTATGCACGACACCACACAGACACCATTCGGGTCTTGGACATCAGGTTTCCCCGATATGCAGGGACACAAGAGGCTTTTCCTGATACCTTTCATCTGCTCAGGTATCTGGTCTTTACTACTGTCAGGATAGATGCAGCGATCAGAAATGGTTTCCACCTAAAAGGCCCTACCCCAGGGTCAGTCTCGTCTTCCGCAGACGATGAGGCATGTCCAGACACTGGGTTTTGTTCAGACACTGGGTTTTTTTCAGGCACTGGGTTTTGTTCAGACACTGGGTTGTGATCAGACCCTGAGATGTGTTCAGACACTACTGATGAGTGTTGAACAGATAGTCGCTGGGAGGATATGATCTCATCCACGTACTGCTTTAACATCGGTCGCAGATTCGTCATTATGAGTGACAAAAGAGAAAGCAGTATCTCTCTGATAGTGCCCCTGGAAAAACAGAAGTCTGGAGTAAGTCAGTGAACCTGCGGTATCTTGAACTGGCTATAATTTGGAACACTTACATATTATGATACCAATACCAGCACAGGACCCCAGGAGGATCATGAATCCCACGAGGTATATAAACCGAGTCCAAATCTTAGCTAATCGATCGGACCATGGAACCTTGCTTTGAAAGGTATCGCCAGAGTCGTCATCCATTGAGCACTGGCTTTGTTTAACTAGCTCCAGGGGCTGGTTTTGGGCAGAGCTGTCGTTTGGTCCGTAGGGAGTTTCGGTAGGTTTTGTTTGAGTGCCCTTTTCTCTGAGATACCTTTCAAGGTACCTTGTTGCGGTTTTCGAACGTGCTTTGCGTCGCAGACGTTGCCTTCCGCCAAGAGCAATGTTCCAAGCTCTGAGGCTTTCGAGTCTTCGAGTGCTCAGGGGCAATTTACGAGAGTGCGTTGTCTGTCTTGGTGGGCTGTGGGTTACACTTTCTTTGGTGCATTGAACTGTGTTCTGTATCTCCCAAGTCTGGGTCAGCATGATGGTGTCATTCGTGTTGTGGCCAGATACCTTGTCCGTGTGATTATTGTTCTTGTTCTTGCTCTTGTATTTGGTCTTATCCAGACTCGAGTCTTTCCTTCCGGCTACCTGGCCAGGTGGTGGTTTCCAGGCGAACGCGGAAGGGATAGCATCTCGTGCGATGTTCAGTCGTCTCATGGTCACCCTGGTCTGTCTGTGCCAGCTCTTCGTTTCTGAAAATTGGTCTGGCCGAGTATCTCTTCTCTTCCCTATATATCTACAGCTCAACAGGCGCTCAAAGTTGCGGGTAGTGTGTTAGTGCATTTCGCGGGCGGGACCCATACAAAACTCTGCAGGCCTTATGTATTTGTTACTGTACGGACTCTGTTTTGCTCTGAAAAATTTGTTAGGCCTAACATCTAACTGTTCATTTCTGTTAGTGCAGCATTTTCGTCCCGTTTTTCCTTCCCAACGTCCAGCCTTTCATCCACAACGGAAGGGCTGAGGCCCGTAGGGCCTCCCCGAACACTAGTTGTCGCTAGTTTTGGATTGTGTCGGCTTGTCATCTATGGGCTCCGTGTAGGTCGAGGCGTGCTCTGTGATGGACTCCATGTTCAACCCGTAGACGTAATCAAGCGGCTTGGGCTTTGGAGGGAGCTTGAAAAGCCGGCTCGATGCAGACCCGAATATGGCCGGAATCCAAGTATTCATCAATGAGTCGCGAGCGTGAGCACGCAAGGCTGCATCGTCGGGGGCATGATTTGACTGAGCCATGGTGGGAGCTGGTGCGTATTGCTGAATTCTCTTTGCTTGAATGAGGCTCGACTGGTTAGCTTGGGTTGCAAAATGAAGTCAGAAGGAGCGAGTTTGAGAGAAAGAGCGTTCGGTAGGTACTTGCCCTTTTATCGGACATGATGCAGCTGATGCCTGGTCACAAAGTTCGAATGATGGAAGGTGCTAGTTGGCGGAGGAAGGTACGATCCATCAGCCATTCTTCACGGATTCACCCAACGAAACGAAACACCTGGGGTAGCTTTCGCTCTCTCTTTCTATCGACTACTCACAAGCCACGACGTGTTCAGTTGGTCAAAGATCAGTCGGCTTCCGGACGATTCGATCACGACATGTATAACCAACAACAGAGATGAGTTCAAAGGCTTTTGTTTGTATTCCATTGTCCCAAGAGAGACTGTATTTCAATAGCTTCTCGGCAATACGAGCACCTTCTCAGAGATGTAGTTGAGAATCATCTCCCGGCTAACCGGAGCAATCCTAGGTACCAGACACTCCCTAAAGTATCGCTCAACATCGTACTCAACAGCATATCCCATTCCTCCGTGGGTGAGCACGGCTCTTTCGCACGCCGCAAAGGCCGCCTCCGCCGCCAGATACTTGGCGCTGTTGCATGCCACTCCGACTTCCTCCTGTCGAATCGATCCATCCGTCTTGCTGGCATCGTACAACCTTGCGGCATGGTATGTCGCATGCTTCGCCGCCTCGAGCCTCATATACACATCCGCCAAAGGGTGCGCGATGCCTTGGTTCTGTCCAATCGGTCGCTGGAAGACCACTCGCTCTCGAGCATACTCGGCGGCCTTACCCAGCGCCGCATAACCGAGCCCGAGGGCCTCGCCGGCGAGGAGACAACGTTCTGCATTCATACCATGAAGGATGATCTTAAACCCTTGTCCTTCCTTCCCAATCAGAGAATCGCCAGAGATGGGGTAGTTCTCGAAGAAGACCTCGTTGGCATCAACAGCTCGCCCGCCCATCTTCTTGATCTTGCTCACTTTCAACCGGTGGTCATCTCTGTTCAGATCGATGCAGAACAGAGACAGCCCCTCACTCGGCTTCTTCGCCTCTTCACGCGGCGTGGTTCGCGCCAGAAGCATCATCTTGTCCGCCACTTGGGCACACGTAATCCAGATCTTTTGTCCTGATACCGAGTAAGAGCCATCATCCTGTTTCTTGGCGAATGTCTCTAGACGCAACGTGTCAAGACCGGCGTTGGGCTCCGTGACTCCAAAGCAGACGCGGAGCTTTCCTGCGATGATGTTCGGAATAGTCTGCTCAAGTTGTTCCTGCGTTCCAAACTTTGCGAGCGGTTGGGTAGCATAGACGTTGGCATGAATCGACTGCGCACCCGCCATACCGGCCCCTGACTCGGCAATTGTCTGCATCATCATGGTCGCTTCGGAGATACCAAGTCCGGCTCCTCCTAGCGCGTCTGGTAGGGCAATTCCGAGCCATCCGTCTTGGGCGAGAGCGGCGTGGAATTCTTTGGGGTACTCCTCAGTCTGGTCATGTTGCTGCCAGTAGGTGTTTGGGAAATTGGAGCATATCTTCATCACGGCATCTCGTACCATGAGCTGGGATTCGGTAAACCCTGCCGTTGCCATCAATTGGCGCCGGGATGAAGTCGAGAAGCCATTCTTGCCGCTCGCTGTCGATCGTGGCGTTATGCGCGGGAGCCAGCGGGCGGAGCGCGCCGCAACGTTGATGAACGTCGCCATTGTTGAGGCTCAAACGAAAGTTCAAAAGGTATGAAACGGGAACGAGACGAAAGGTTTCAGCCAATCCATCATATGATGCTTCTTTATGAGCCACCAAAACAAGGCAGGCGTGAGTCAATAAGTCGTGGACCCATATCCAGGTTTATCGCAAGGATTGTGACGTTGGAGGTGAGGAACCAGGAGGGACGATTCAGGGGCACAAGGGGTAATGACAGCCGGTCTCCAAGCCCCAATATACCTAAAATGCGGGGTAAAGCATCTCCATCACAGGCGGTTATTGCGTAGTGCATTGAGCTTTGATCAACAGCATCGTTTCAAGTGATATCTGGCCAAATTCCCAGGTCGTTTTCCTTCTGTGAACAGCAATTTATCAATGAATCTATCGCTCAGAGAACAATTCAACATTATCATCGCATCTTTTCCCACCAATTCCAACATAATTTGTGCAAAAATGACAGTCCTACGAACAGCTCTGAGCCGGCAGGCGCTGCCACTCAAACTCCGCGCTATGTCCAGGCCGAGATCCCTCAGCACCAGCAGCATCACCGCCAGCGAAGCAGCAAGTGAGATGCTGCACAAATTCCAGGACAAGACCATTGTCCGAAAACAGACTCTAGACGGCAATCAGATGCAAAAGCTGTGTCTCACACTGGGCCGAAGGTATGGCCTGGGCCCGCAACTGGATCTCACGCTCGGCTGTCCCCCAAACGGAACGCCAGTGCCGCCGGGATACCATCTTGTGTACTTTACGCCATCAGAACTGGAGGAGGATCTTGGCGCCGATGGCACCGATCGCACCTTCAACGCACCCGCGCCCTTCACGCGGCGCATGTGGGCAGGAGGACAAATGCGGTGGAACGACGGTACCGAGCTGAGGGTCGGCGAGCAGGTAGAGGAGCACACAAAGCTTATCACCGCCGTGGCGAAGAAGAGTCGTGATGGCAGTGAGATGGTTCTGGTGGAGGTGAACAAGGAGTTCTGGGGTGAACGAGGCTTGGCGCTGGTCGACCAGAGGTGAGTTTCTGCCTTTTATATCTTAACACCCGATCAACCTGAAAGAAAAGCGATGTAAGAGGAAAAGTGTTGTTTATACTTTTTTTGTGATTTCCCCACATACAGATCTTGGATATTCCGGAAAGAAATCGACCTTTCGAAAATAGGCGAAACAACATCAACAAAGTCCCCACTTCCTCCACCGCGAGGCAAGTCAGAAGTGCGAGACGTGATTGTCGGCGACAACCCTTTGCCAGACCGGTTTCTCAAGTGGTCGCCGGCGGCCCTGTTTCGGTTCTCGGCTCTCACCTTCAACGCGCACATGATTCACTACAACGAAAGCTGGACGCGGGACGTCGAGAACCACCCCGGCGTGGTCGTGCATGGACCGCTGAACCTCATCAACATGCTGGACTACTGGCGAGACGTGCACCGGGTGGACGGGTCCGTCCTGGAGGAGATCTCGTACAAGGCTACCACACCGATATACGCCGGGGAGGAGTACTCGATTTCGAGCTCCAAGATGAATACGGATTATGGCATGTTTGAGGTGTTGGTGAAGAAGGGGGATCAGGTGTGCATGACGGGACATATTTGCGAGGCTTCGAGCTGGAGTTATTGAAGGGGGATGGATGATGAGGAGCTTAATTATACCAACTTACCGATGAATTAGTTAGCGGACGAGACCTTCAATGAATGAATGTTCTTGAACTTTCGCAATATCATTCACTGGGTATGTTGAAATCGCAAAAAGGTAGCGAATGGTTAGAGTTGCGTTGTTGCAACTCAGTGAGGTGACAAAAGGAGACAAAGGACTTCCTTCGCAAAGTTTTCGTCTTTTTCTTTTGTGAGGAATGTTGTTTGAAAAGGAAGCCAAACAAAAATCGAGAAACGCTTTGGATAATGTAAACAAACACCAAAAAGCATCGTGAAAAGCTACAAAAAAAGAGAAATTTTACCGACGCGAGCAGGATTTGAACCTGCGCCTCCGAAGAGATTTGATATGTTCGAATTGGGTATTCGAGTCAAACACCTTAGGCCACTCGGTCATCGCGCCTTGAATTTTGGTTAAAGAAATACCTGGTTTATGACCTATGAAGGAGAAAAAAGTGTGGGTTGCAGTGGGAGCGATCAATCCACTTGCAACCTACAACGATGCGACACCAAACCGTCAAATGAATTATTGTTGAGCTTCTCGAAATTCAAGTGGCATAAGGATTGATGCTTATCTGGTGGCAGTGCAACTTCTTGATCCGCTTGGATTTGCATGACGGGGTTGGAAGGATCGAGGTCGGCGGCAATATCGTGAACAGTAGCAGAGGAGAGAAAACGAGAGCGCAATGCCACAGATCCATCCAAGAGACCATCCAAGAGACCATCCAAGAGACCATCCAAGAGACCATCCAAGAGACCATCCCATAAGTTCATATGACGACAATTCCAAGGATGATCATATGCAAAATGAAAGCCACAGTGAACAGTGAACGGTAGATACGCTTGTGATTTTTAATACAATCCTTCCTACACTACATCTTGCAACTGCTATATGCAATCCATACCCAATCCTCCCCAGGTATTCCTCCACAGCCAGCAGGGTATCACACACATCTATCCCCCTTGGGCATATCCATGAAGGTACCCATGACAGATTCTGAATGCATCCTCTTCAGATTTACCTTCCCCCCTTTTGCTGCTTACTCCTCAACTCAACAGCACTATACCACGCCGCGCCCGCCAGCGCAATCACCATACCGCAGCCATTCAAGAAGCCCACCTGGACTCCAAAAAGCACAATGCCCAGCAGAATCGTCAAGCACTGCTTGATATTTCCGCACACCGTCATCGTCACCGCGCCCGCAACCTTGTTCGTCGAAAACGAGCTATAGTTCAGGCAAAACGCCAACAAGCCATTACCCGCCAGCGTCAAGATCAGTGCCCCTGACGGACCCTCGGGGTTCTGCTCCCTGAAACCCGCCAGCTCACCGCTAGCGGTGGCGCAGACCAGCGCCTGCGCGCAAGCCAGGGGCGACATGCGCAGCAGCGTTTCCAGCGGGCTCAGAGCCAGAGCGCCGGTCATGATCCGATTGGTGGCGACGGTCTTGACGACGGCCAGGATGACACCGAGAAAAGTGAGGATGAAGCCCGCGGTGGTGAAGTAGTAATCACCGTAGGTGGCGAGGCCGACGCCTAGGATGAGCGGGATGAGCGAGAGGTAGGTGTCGCGCGGGTAGGAGCGGCCGTAGCGGAAGCGGTAGATGAGCACGGCGAAGAAGGGGCAGGTCGACCGCATGATTTGGTGGAAGGGGATGGAGACCATGGCGAGGGAGACGTTGGAGGTGGCGATGTTGACGGTGAACAAAATCGAGAAGAGGAAGAGGGTGAGATTTTGCTGGAGCGAAAGCTTCGTGAGGGTGAAGCGGCCTTGCAGGAGGAGGATGTAGCAGCCTATGGATGCCGAGCCGGCGTGGAGGGCCGTGAGAAGCCATGGGTAGGAGAACTGGTAACGAGGGTTAGCTTGGTGTTGTTGTACACGCATGAGATGTACTGCTCAGTCGGAACTCACCTTGCCCAGAATGAGCTTGTTGTATATCGTTAATGAAATGTTACATAGAAAGTAAACGGCCAGGTACAAGAGTTTCGTTGTGCCTGAGACCTCGTTTTCTGTCCTGACTGTAGGACTTGATGGCTGTGGATTGAGAGGAATCTGAGCCTCCACGTCCTCGTCCTTGTCCTTGAATGTTGGACTGGTAGACATGGCTGATGGTAACGTTGACCAGCTCGGTACTGATCAACCCGTTTGACGGTGAGATAAGATAGAGTAATAAAACCCGGAAGGCTCCGACCGGAGTTACAGGCTCTGAGACCGATGATAGCTCTTTCGGGATATTTTGCTGTCGAAGAATGATACCGGGAAGGTAATGATGTAATGTGGATAGAACGAGAGTGTGAGTGAATGTGTGATGATACAAAAAGGAGAAGACCGGTTCAGCACAGATTGTAGGGCTGAAACAACGGTGGTAGCACGGTAGGATACTCAATGCAAAACCTAAAGGCTTGATGAGTGTGGTCTTAGTGAAAAAAGAGGTCAAGACAACAGGAGCATTCCCGTGTGTGTGTGTTGTTTCTGGGTGAACCGTCCTCACATCCAAACGCTTGCCCAAGAGTCCGAAGCCCGCGCAAGGAACAACACGGCGGCTTCCCCACGATACACTAGCAAATTAGTGGCCGTCAAGGTTGGATAGCTCGGAGGTTGCAGTGAAGGATTTGGGTGGTCTGAGAGAGATCGTCAATGAAAAGAGAAGGAACAGGAAAGGCCGCTGGGTACCACCGGAAACAGGAGGTCAGCAAGAAAAAAGAAGAAAGGCCCCCAAGTTCCAGGAATTTGTTTTGTTGGAGGGGGTTTCGGAAACGAGCACCACCAAAAGCAGAAAAGCTGCGGGGACTGTATGGAAAAGCGGCTGTTCCGGGTTCACTGAGCGCTTGCTGTGGGCATTTGATTTGGACGGCCAAGACCAGGCTGTCTAGGCTTGTTACGGGGAGAGGCTTGGCTTTGGAACCTGAAGCCATGGCAGACATCATGCATCCGATCAGAATTCCGGTGAGTGGATCAGCAAATCCAGGTTTGAATGGATGGGCCGCTGGATATCGAACGCTATTGCATTTGCGCCGTCAGTAATAACTGATCCCAGTAACCAGGGACGTCCACTGGAGCATGTCCCCTGTTTCCCGCTCGCGTGCTGATCGGTTCATCCTCCCCCGAAGAGGGTGAGGAGATGGTCAATTCTGCCTCCAGAGTTGGGTGTGATACCAGCGCCAAAGAAGCACAATGGCCTCTGAAGACCGCACAGGAGGACCCTGAAGAATGCCACATGAAACTTCCCGCTCTGCACACTACTGTAATACAACCGCCATAGCCCGATAGATCGCAATGTTTGGGTTGGATGATGATGGGTAAAGCTTCGGCAGCAACCGTTGTGTTAGAGGACCCTTTCTATGTACACATCTACTGCGTCAGCATACCTACAAATGCATTGGTGAATGATGGTGGTCCGTACAACCTGGCCGCTTTCCATCTTGTCCGACCTCCGCTCCGTGACCCGTCGTTGTTCTGTAAGGTTGCTCTACCTCCCGCCGTTTCATAAAAGGCCTACTGTTAACCCTACACATAACGATCAGAGACATAACGATATCCTCGTTATAACGATCTGAAGGTCGGAAACGGCTGCCAAATGTATGGGAGTAACGATCAACCTCTGGATTACGATTTCGATCAGATTTTGAGCGCGAACCACACCGAAATCGTTATATTCAAGGGTCCGGAGACGGCCTATGACAGGTCCTAATAGGGCCTGACGGCCAGTAGCAGACCCTTTTCTATGCTAGGTGCCCTCTGATTGGCCCGGCACCCCGTAGTGGCCTACCTCAGAGTAACGATAATCTGGGAATTACGATCAAGACCACGGTAACGGACCTGATCGTTATGTGTAGGGTTAACAGTACCCTTTTTTCTTCTGTCACCCAACGAAAAGGTAACACTTTACAAAAATCCAGGTCCACGGAAAGGAAAGGCTGGGGTCGTTGTTTGGAGGTGATCCGTGCAGCAGCCAATTCAAGGGTTACATGTACGCTGACCCGGTCGCTATCACGATGACGCGTAACCCTCCATTAACAGCCAAACTCAACCACACACCCTTCCCGAGCCTCCCTCCTTCCCCCAACTGCAACAAAAGCTGCAGCGGAGAGAGCGGCTATTGCTACCACTTGTAGTTTAGATTCCCAGGAGAACGCGCAATCACACTTTGTCATTTTCGATACATGTCAGCAAGGCGACGTTTCTTCCGCTGCGGAAATAAATCAACTTGTGTTAAACCCTTCTGCAACTCCAGGCACCGGCACCGAGCTCGCTCCGAGTGCAGAATGGCTGCAGGTACAGGTGCGACTGGCTGGCTGCAAAAGGGCGTTGGTGGTTGCTTTTGGGAGATGGTTGGGGTCTTGGAGCTCGTGTTTAGGGGCTGGGCAGTTTCTGGGCATGTGGGGGAAAATCATGAGATAGCGAATTTCAGGCCAAGTCATGAATTGAACAACGATAGAGTGAGATGAAACAGGTCTTGTCCTTCTCGATGACGGTTCTTTAAGACTCCGAAGGAGGCCTGAAGATATTGACAAGACCAGCTACGTATTTGATCCCTGCTCTGTTCGAGACGAAGCATTAAAATAGAAAATGCAAATGAGTCTCCATCCCCCAATTCCCGATCATGCCCCCAGACAAGGGTTGTTCGCTGCAAGTTCTCGGATCCAGAGATTTGGAAGACCGAGTCGCCATTCGAGAAGGGGAATAGACCCTTCTGTTGCGAATTTCGATACTGGGTCACCCATGTTCCTTGTTTGATCACCTTTCTTTCCCCAGGCCAAGGCCATTGATGCGACAGCTCTCCTGACCATGGCAAAATTGCCTCCTCGGCCTCTGTCACCTTGAAGACTAAATGTCGAGCCTCATGAAAAAGTAGGAAAACATCCAATAGGTACACCAGGTTGCTGGACTATTACCAGTGAACAACCACATGTAGTTCCAAATCACAATGTAGGTTATGGCAACTGGGATCAGTCCAAGCGCAAGCCTGCGTCCAATATGCGTGTGTAAACATCCAAACAACAGCCGCTGCCTGCATAGCAAAAACTCCAGAGATGCAAGATTAGATGCAAATGTACTATACAAACAACAAGATGCGTCTTCTTTGCTTGGTGCATCTTGTCTTCCATGGGGCAATCAAGTCTAGTGACCGCCCGCGCTGGCCTCCTCCTTGGCCTTCCTCTCCTGTTCCTCCTTCTCCTTCTTCTCCTTAGCCTCCTTCTCCTTCTTCTCCTTTTCTTTGCGCTCCTTCTCTTCCTTGTCCTTCTTTTCCTGCTCCTCCTTCTTCTTTTCCTCCTCGATCGCCGACGCGGCCCTCTCCTTGGTCAACTTCTTGTTTTGTTCGTTCCAGAACTTGTCGACTTCATGTTTCAGGACGTCCTTGGTCGTCTTGTTGGCCCACTCGGGCAGTTCCTGCTCGGCACGTTCCACCCAGGGGCCCATCCAGCTGTCGCGCACGTACGAGGTTCCCGCAAAGTGCACAATCATGTCCCCCTGCATTACCTTCCACTTCTGGACTTTGCCGCCGTGACCGTCGTCGAAGACCTCGTTCGTTCCCTTGTCGAACTGCTCCTCCGTCATGGGCTTGCCGAAGAGCCAGGTGCCGTTCTTGAAGAAGGCGTTGTTAACGGGCAACGAGTTGAACCAGCGGATGGGCACGTCAACCCAATGATCACGGCCAGCCATGGGCGTTTGCGCCAGAGGAGAGGCTTTGTCGGTGAGCAGGAATTGGAAGGCGCTTTGGTCGCGGAATCGATCGGTCTTCATGCGCTCCGAGTTGTAGATGGGGTAGGCGAGCACGGCCGACAGGAAAGAGACAGACCACGGGCTGACGCGGAAGGCGAACACTCCCGAGTTGAGGCCGTCCCAGTTGGACGAGATGACGAGGTCGACGTTCGAGAGACCCTGGGCATCCTCAGGCGGGAGGAAGAGCTCTAGAGGGGTGTAAGGGTTCATGACTACCGTGTCGGCGTCGAACCAGCTGTTACGTGAGAAACAGTATTAGTTGTTGTTTTGCCCATATACCACTGTCGATCAGAGAAGATGACGACTTCCGAAGAAAGATACTTACAAAACCCACTTCAGCCTCTCCTCTTCAGGCTTCTCCAACTCTGCGACAATGATGGAGAGTAGATAGGCGGGCTTAGTCCATGCCCCCTTGGGACGGCCGGCGCGGTCGTTCTCGATCAAGCTGCTGACCGCCTGGTTCAAGGCGATGTAATGTTGGTAGCCATATTCGCGGTTATGGCGTTCATGTGTCTGCATTGCGCGGTGGATAACATCGACGTCGAGGGCGTTAGCCGCGACGGTGACCTTGGCCACGCGAGAGGTCTTCACCGGTGGTTTCTCATGCTCGGCGGGCTGGTTCGTAGCTGGCGGCGGGGTGTTGACCGCGGGAACATCGGGGCCGGAGCCGGCGGGAACGGAGTGGTCGACATTCTGGTTACCGTTGTTGATGGTGTTTGGTTGTTGGGGCTCAGACTTGGGAGCACCGTGGAGGGGCACCTCGGAGCTTATACCGCCGCTGGTGAAGCTGGAGTTGTGGAAGGTGATGAGCCAGAGCCAGAGACAGCCAAGCACGGCTAAGACGCTGATAATCCTCAGGGGCCGTTGGGCCTGGAAATTGCTTAAAATCATGGCGGAAGAATGGCACAGGCGCTGACCCAACTCTTCCTCATGTTGCGATGAGAAAAGCTCAAGGGACAGGTGAGACCATGAAAGAGGTCAAGGACAGAGACAGCGGATTCGGATCCGGAAAGGAGGAGCCACGGCCACAGAAAAAAGATGGAGAAATCCGAGAAAGGCGGACGTTGAAGAAGTCATCCATTCCTGGTCAACCTTGCCGGTCCCAAAGCAGGCCGGGATCGTCACTTGGCATTTCTCCCAGGATGATTTGTCTCCCAGTTCTCCATGTCAAGGGTCTTGGCAGGAGTGGGTTCAAGGTGGGCTGCTTCATGGCCAAGCGAAGGTGAAGATGAGGGTTTGGCTCGGATTTGGCCATTTGGGCTGTCAGAAGCTGTCTCGCTATCCTGACGATAGCCAAGGAGGTCATCGCTCCAACCAAGCCCCTGGACGGTGGACAGCAACGGGAAAGCGGCCTCTGTTGTTCGAGAAAAGGGGTTACATGCAGGCTGGGCAATGGCTGGGCTGTGAAGCCTTGCGCCGACATGGCTGCCCCAACTTGCATCTTCTCATGATTCTCTCTTCCCTACTCGTCTGGGCTAGAAACGCCTCCTGCGACCCATTGCTTGCAATGGGTCTGGAAAATGGATTCACAAATGCAAATGGATTCGCGAATACTCAACTTATACGCCAAGTTGGGTGCAAAAACGAAGTACCGCTCCAAGCCCTCCCCATTCGCTGGCCGACGGAAGTACCAAACTTTCGCGAATCTATTTGCATTTGCGAATACATTTGCCTAACCCTGTGCAAGCACAAGGTCAGACTGGGACGTTTCTAGTCCTGACGAGTATTCCCTCCCTCAGGTTCCGCTGTCGCCGAGATACAATGTCAGCATGTGCGCCCACTGCCCAGTGAGAAAGACGTAAACCGGGCAGAAACATTCGATTGGAAGTGCTCGGAAAGGAAGCTGTGCAACATTCCCACCTTTCCAGGTCAACCTTACGCCGCATTGCCGACGGTATCACCCTCTTGTTCATTATGCTGAGACGGACTGCCGCTCTGTACATGTGACAGCGGCTTCCGGTCAATCCAGAGACAAATTCATACTGGCACGACCTACATAAGAGGTATCTTTCAAGCCCCTCTGGTAGTGTATGGTGAGCAGATCTGAATGGCATAGACGGAGGGACTTGTTGAGCAATGAATTTGCACAAAGTTCCCTATGGATGGCATTCGAAAGAAGGGTGTTTTCTTCACACAAAACGTGTGGACGACGAGTCTTCATTTCGATGTTCAGTTTTGAACTTTTGGATGAGGTTGTTCGTTGAGGTTCCTTCCCGTCATCGGCCGTCCCTTCTGTCAGCGGTACCGACAGGGAACTTACAGCGGATGCGGGATGCCGGCATGGGGGGGCAGGGTGGACGCGCGTAAGATGAGCGGGAATGGGGCTCTTGGCACTGCTTGGCACTGCTTGGCCAATTTCCCCGCGCCAGCCAATTCTTATCCACCAGGGGCACCGTCCCGTCTGCACGCATGCTCGGGGTTAAGCATGTGCCTCCGAACAAACTCCATGCCACCGTCATCGAAAATCAACGACAATTATCATCAGCTTGGCCTGCGCTGACAGCTTTAGCATGGCTTTGCATGGCTTTAGCAAAGCGACTTGAAGATGCTGGTGAAGTACTGGCCTCGGGATATCGGCCATCTTGAGTTTGAATACTAAACATTGACAGAGACGCGAGCGATCGAGCTTTCCTCCTCCTAGGCATGGGCCTGATAGCGATGAAAGGTGAGATCTCATAAGATGACAATATCTGAGTTGACACTCCCGACGCAGGAAAACTGGGAGCGACCCTCAAACAAAAGTCCGTACGTGCCACGACGGTGGCAAACCGACGAGCAAACAATAGCCTTGCTCCTATAATAGGGTTGTCTTGGCCATCCTTTCTTTCCATCGTCAACCCGAATTGGCGACCTTGGAAAAGCTTCCACGGGCGACGCCTGGCTCCCAAAATGCGGTTGTCATAACAAAAACGGATTCGGCAGAATCGCACCATCATCGGACGCAATTTGTTTGGGGCAAGCCGCCGTCGCCAGGTGTTGATATTCACCAGATGCCTGACTTAAAGATGTGGACGAAAGGCCGATGCGGAAACCAGACTTAAGGGGCGGGTGTCAACTCAGTTACACTGGGGGTTCCTTGGGAAGAGGGCGGTGGCGAGCCTTTGAACCTCTGCCAGGGGCTCTTCTCGTGGTGGTCTGTTCAACCGTTTCACAGTGTTGGCAAATTTCCGGAGGAGAAAGCTGTTAGAGGATGCAGCGACCCAACTGCAAGTTTTCCAAAATACTTGGCTTCTACACGAGAAGCTGAAATATATCGAGGTGGATGTGGAAACAACCCATGTCGACAGCCGGCAATGGGAATTCCATATGATTCTCAGACGCTGTTTTGGGATCTCAAGAATACTATTGCAAGATGTTCGCCATTGTCTCCTTGTCAGTCTCGACTGATTAGGTTATAATGTCAACAGTCAAGTGAATATTGTGGCAAGCATGGTGGCTGGTAGAGGCCAACGCTACGAGCTTGCTGCTTTTATTGACGATACTTCCATTGCAGGATGGCAACTGTGTTCCGGATCAACTGAGAGACGACCAAGGCCATTGGGGCTCCGAAACGTGTGGCACTACCATATAAGGCTCACATCCGAACCACTTAGGTATCCATCACCTGATAGCGCCAGTGGTTTAGTGGTAAAATCCATCGTTGCCATCGATGGGCCCCGCGTTCGATTCGCGGCTGGCGCAAATCAAATTTCATTCTTGTCATCTTCTTTTGCTACTTCCGCTCAGAAACGCCGAATTCTTTCATTTGTTTTTGTTTTGGCTTACGAAGTTTGTCTTTTTGTGTGAACTCCCTTCCCCATATATCACAATCGATGTTGTCAGACACGGGAGCCGGTTGATCATCCAACTTCGACGTCGTTCAATGGTTTTACCATGAGGCTATCTGCCTCGCGCTCAATTCGCTTCTTGATTCTCATGTTGATCAATTAGTTTCCTTTCTACCCGCTTCTTTCGTCAGATCTCGTCGTGATCATCAAAAGATTTCCGTTGGCAAAGCTGAGCGGAATGTGAGGAGCTGATGAGGTGAGCTCTGAGCTCCTTCTCACCCCGCCGCCACCAACAATTGTCCATTTTCAGGCACCCGCGCTCCCTGCCGCTTGTCAATGTCACGTCAAAATGGGGTTCTCAGGGTCTGCGATCGTCGTCATCGGACAGTGGGCCTGTGCCGCCCACCCAATAATGTCAACAACAACAATAAAACGCACCACCCACTGAAAATTATCGCGACGAACACCAGGTAACACACGATGCGTCTTTATCTCACCTGCTTTGTTTGAGGAACAAGAGCGCGCTAAAGATTTCTTCAGCTGCCTTCTCGCGCTTATTTTACGCCGGCTTTCATACACTACACCCTCAACAACTTCGTTATGATCAAGTCCATCATCTGCCACGGCGCGTTGGTGCAGCACCTTTGTTGATGCGACCGCCATCGCGAACCTCGAGAACAACTTCAGGCGGCTACAAACCAACATCCAACGGTGTCGACATGATCACGCAGTATATATTGTACTCGAACCCCGATACTACTCGCTTTTGACGGCCTGCCTCTTGTTCGGATCACCTCTTTACCCCACGTTGAGCCGACCAAAACCCTGGACTGAACGTCTCACGAACACGTGGGGGACCATATCTGGAGCTTCCTTTGCAACATCCAGTGAACAACAAACTGTCGAGCGGCACCTTTGAAATACACCCACCTCTTGGCTGGGCCCAGGAGAGCCACCACTTTGAGCTCGAAGCTCCTCAGGGGACGAATCACCCTCACCTCACCTCTCCTCACCAAGTGATCACCAAGTACAGATATCACAACACGAACCAGTGCTATGACCAGAGAAGGACGACGCCCACGACGACGACGAAAACGGAAGAAGCAGAAGAAATGCCCCACTCAACCATGGAGTTTTGCAGAAGGTGTAGGGAAATGAGACCTCCCGGGCACACAGATCACGGCAGGTTGGGTCGTGTTACGAGCGAGGGAGGAGGAGGAGGAGGAGGAGGATTCGGCGGAGGGGGACTTGAGAGCACGACGGCTGCTGGCCGTAGAGGTGCTGTTCGGCTTCCTCCAAGTATGATCAGGCAGGATGCGACTGTTGGTCAGTCTCTTTGAGCATGAGGATAAGCGTGCGCGCCACGAGGGGAAGCGTCAGGAACATGGAGGGAGGGGAAACTCGTTATCACCTATGGTGATGGTTGTTAGTTGGGTATGGCAAGATATTGTTGAATATCATGAGAAGTCCTCGGGAAACTAAAACCCGACGTGGACTCCAAATCCGAGAAAACCTGAAGGGGCAGTCTTTTGGCTGACAGGGAACTATTATGGTAGAGGATAGGACGCAGGTCCATAAACTTGGATTGTCGGCACATCTGGAGTTGGATGGATGGGATTGGGTCTGTCGCAGTATGTTTTCACACAACTGGATCATGGCCCGGAGTTTTGTATGCGTCGTCCATTCAAGCTGACATAAAGCGCGTCACATCATGAAGCCACTAGGGACGGAGAACACAGCAAGTCGGCTATATTCGACTTTTTCATTCAGTGAACAAGCCAGTTCATGTTTCATAACATCGTTATACGTGATACATATTCCCAACAATTCCCCCAACACCACCATATCGTACAAGTTCGTTTCCCTCCTTCTATTATTATCATCATCACCATTCAACCCCTTCAAGGGTGCTCGGTAGCAACCCTCTGCGCCGTCTTAGGCTGGCTGTGCTCCGCACCACGCGCATTATATCCGCCCTCGCCCATTCTATCAGTCTCGCCACGGATGCCCCTCTTGATAGGCTCGGGCTTGTCAGCGACCTGCTCGCGGACCTGGTTGAAGACGGTCTCGGCGTGCTTGTGGGTGGTGCCCAGGCCCTCGACGCCGGAGCGCTCGGCCTTGCGATGGCGAACCTTCATGCCGTGCAGCTCGTTGCTGGTCTGGCCCTGCATGGGCTTGCCGTACGTGGTCTGGTTGTGGACGGACTGGCTCGTGGAGCCGGGGAAGGCGTCAAGCAGCCCTGTCTGCGTGGACGGGTCGACGTCTGTATCCATGCCCTGGCCGGGAGTGGCGTGGATGGAGTTCGCATGGTGCGAGTCCTTCTCCGGAGCGGTGCCGGAGGGAAAAGTCTTTGCGCGGAACTCGGGCAGGGCTTCGTTGCCTACTTGCTGGCCTAGTTGGTGCTGATGAGTGGCCATGTGTGTTAGTGATGTTGAAAGCCAGAACATATGATCATGTTTGGACTGATGATACTTATGCCAGATCTGGTTCTAGGCTCAGCTGGGGGAACGCTGGAGTGGAACTGGCCCTGGTTGGTAACGGAATCGGGGTTGGCGGACATGATGAGTGATGTTTATGATTCGTAATCTCAAGATTGTGGTGGTGTTGTTATTGTTGTTGGATAGCAGCGGCTTTGCAACTGTCGATTGAGTCTTTTGTGATTCTGGGTGTTGATGTCTATGATGAATGGTCTGAAACAAAGAGATTCATGTGCAATAAATAGGTTCTAGACGTTGATATAGCCCCGTTGTGGTGGTAAAGGGTAGCTGTATAGCTGTAGTCATGATGTCAACCTTACAGTCACTGACATCACGACTCCCAATCATCTGTGGAGGTACGTAGATGATCGGATCAATGCACCAATTTTCCCGCTGTTCATAACTTCCCTATTTTGACACGAGCTCCTGATGTGAGTAGGCTAATGATGTAGTTCTCGTTGGCTAGTACACCTCTCGTTATAGGCCAGCGACGAGGGAAGACATCGCCATGTCTTGGCATAGATAAAGCTTGAACAAACCATTATGGTAGTGTAGACCCACGCCGTCAGCCTCAATGCCATCGCCGAGACCTGCTCGGAACTCTCCGATTCTCTCAGATACAATTGATACTTCTAACATTATTAGCTTGTGAGACTGTTGTGACATTCACACGCAGGCCTCTCACGTTGTTAACAGTTAATGTCATGGTATTTTCCCATTAAAACGCAATCAAATCTGATCCGGAAGCTCTGTCATGGTGGGACATCTGACATTTGACGCTGAAAGGCGCCTTCATAAAGCATAAGTTCAAAAGTGAGCACCTAAGGTAAACGGTAGAGTGCATAGTATTAATCCAAGATACATCTGCTTTTGCATACTAATTACCGTGATAAGTTGGAGGTTTTGTTGTTGATTTGTTGCCACCAGAAACACTCGAACAGTCTTGGATCAGTGGGGTTCTACGGGAGGCCAAGCACTTAGGGAAGGAGCTAGGGAGGCGGTTAGCACATGCGGTGCACTGTGGGGTCCCTGCATTCAGCCGCTGTCTGCAAAATGTGGCTGCCATATCGTGCGCCGTTGAATTTCAAGCCGGCATTCCATTGTCAAGCGGGGTTTTATTCACCAGCGGGCACAATTACTTTGAGGTTTAATTGTCTCTCCGACTTACCTTAATTCATCGTCTATTCCAAACCGTGCTGCTGTGGATTGCGAGGTGGCCTTAATCGCGGTGTTCCTTTCCGCTCCATCTTGCATTGCGATTGATGTCTACAATGATGTAATGGCGGGGCACATCACAGCGGGCGTCGGGCGGTCAGAGCCTCCCGCCATCACTAGTACCGGCAGGCACAGCAGGAAGCAGGTGGGGCGAGGAGTGGTCTCGTCGATCCTTCTTTATTTTCTTTCTCCCACATTCACCACGATGCCAGTGAGGTTGCTGCGACTGAGTGTGAATATATACCAGGACCTGCAGTGTCATCTTGGAGCGACGGGAACTACGAAAAGGATGGCTGGCGTCGCGCTTTGTGATCGGCTAGAAATCAAGCATTCCAGGTTTGTGCTAGTCCACCTCAGCACCTCAGCCACCCATTTGAGTGGTGATCGAGCTGATCTTCCTCTACAACCAACTGAATCTCAGCTTCCCGGGCCTTAACACCACAAAGGACACCCATTCGTCCCTTCCATCCGTATCCTCAAAACGTTACAAGTGCATTGAAGCCAATTTCGCCCCCACTGTTTGAGGATGAATGGACGGAAGGACCACCTCTCCCTTCGACTTATCACTGCTACCACAATTGCACCTTCCGTCAAAATAAAGCCTATTGTGTACGCCGGTCTCGGGCAATCTTGGAACAAAAGGAAAACTTTGCGCTCGGTCCTCTTCCCTCCAGGAACAGTAATTGTGGCGCTTCAGGCTGCCTTCAGCTCTCTGACGGACGGGAGTTCAGTTGTGTCCATCTGATGTCCTGGGGTTCCATTCGAACCGTCCGATATTGTCAGCATTGCAACTGCAAGGCACGGGGTTATTTTCCACTTCCACTCTCCCCGACAAGCTTCGTGCCTGCATGCCAATGTCCGATTGAGCTCGAGCATAGGCAATCACGAGCGAGCGACATGATGGCTCCCAGACAAATTGTTTCTTACATTTCTTTCTGAAACCTTTGATGTCGGGGCTTTTCGGTCCTTGGCGCCGAACGAGAAGGATTTCCTTCGATTTTCCCTCCACCTTCCTTGTCCGTCAGGGACGCCTTGAATCGCTAGAACCGCTGGAACCACTGGAACCCACTGGGGTGACAGGCTCCACCAGCCAACCACCAACCACCACTTCTCCGCGCATCCAGACTCCAGCCCCAGCCATCCAGCCATCACATCGCAGGAAGTGGAAGACATCCACTGATCCACCAGCGGGCATCCCACCCTCCACTCTGACGGCTGGCTCTCTCTGCCTCGCGGGTGTGCCAGTTTTTGGTCCAATGCGACGGCGATGCGACAGGACACCAAGCGCCGCAAAGACACGAACAGGAACTTTCTAGGATTCAGCCGAACAATTCCAACGAGTGCCCTCTGCCTTGGCCGGCCGCTGTTTAGAAACTAGGACAAGGATATCACCACGCGTCACACACTTGACGACGGCAGGCCAGACCAGACCCGACCTCATCCTCTGTCTACACACGTTCGTTCGCTCAGGATCGCATAGCTTTTTTCAACTCTTCGAGCATCTAGTCCGAAGTAGCCTTCTCTTGCTGCGATACCCGTTGACCAGGCACCCGGTCATTTGTTCCGGGCCCGGCTTGTCTACGGAAGCCCCGACACTAACGCTCGCTTCCACTTCCATCGGCGTCCGAGACAAAGCGTCATTGTTTGTTTTGTCGCCTGGCATCAGGTCTAGATTGTCCCACGAGTCTGCGACACTGCAACATTGGGAAACACCTCGCTCGTAATACCCATCTGTTTTCCGTGTTCACCAACTCTCCCTGGTATGCTGCCTCCCACTCGATTCCTTGCGGCTGTTGCTCATTTGGCATTGTCCTCATGCTAAGTTATTTGATGTACACAACAGCTGGGCATTATTCCTTGTTTGCTCTGAGATCCAGGACGCTGTCTAATCCCAGACGCCGCGAAATCGACACTGTTCCTCCTCATCTGCATATTGCGGCCGTTTAGAGCCTGGCGCTCATTACCTGCGTTCCAAGTCGACCATAGAACACCTGATCTGGCTTGTAGACTCGTCTGAAACTTGTTGCTACACGTACACTCCTGCGCCCTCCCATCCAGTCGCATCCCGTCCTCGTGTCCGAGAATGGCACACCCAAGGTATTCATTTGACGACGACCAAATGGCAGAACGAGAACCTCTTGATGCAAACGCATCTCCATACCATCCACGAAACCAGTACTATCCGCCCTCACGCTCTCAGCAACAGTATCAAGATTCATTCCGCCCGCCGTCCGCATCCCGACCCGGAGCCCATCCGGATTCTGCCTTTGAACGACTTCGTATGCAGAGACGCAACAGCCGAGGACAATCCGCAGAGAGGGGCAATGGTGATGGCAATTTTAGAGCATACGTACCAGCTGGTGCGGCATCCAACAGCTACGAGCAACAAGATATAGTGCCGCCTATATCCCTTCCCCAGCCGCCTCCTCACCGCGCCGAGGGAAGACCATGGGGCAATGATCAGGTTAGCTACTCGGAGTCACAACGACCAAGGGCCCTTAGCAACATCACTCCTGGAGCGGACGACTTCAGCAATGCTGCTGCCGGTGGTATGACGGGGATTGCGCTGACCGTCGCTGACCAGACTGCGAGGGAGAGCGGACTCAACGCACTTCACGGCCCCGCCTACCCAAGAGAATACGATCAACAAGCTCTCCCGACACAATTCCAAAGCCAACAGGTTCCCGGGCCGAATGCACGCGAACCATCGAGCTATTCCCAGGCACAGATGCCTTACGCTAGTCCCTATACTCAAAACAGCGGCCCCTCTAGCCTACAGAACAGTTCACAAGCACTAAATGCTGCGCAATATGCGCCTGACGCCGGTACACCTGGCCAGGCAAGTCCCTCGAGAAGCCCACCGCAAGGTTCTGGTACAACAGGTATTTACACGGACGATCCCTTCCTGGCCTATGGCCGTCCTCAGCCACCAGGTCTAGGGGTTGTCGACCCGCTCGCCGCTCTTGACGACGATGGTGATGACGGGCTCAACTACCACCGCAAGGCGAAAAGGAACAGCATGCTCAGCCTCAGTAATGGGAGCAACAAGAGTGCTGCAGCCATTGCTGGCACTGCTGCGGCTGGCGGCGTCATTGGGGGTCTGGCGAGCCGTAATGGGAGCGGCAACGTCTCTGGCTACACCCCGGTGAAAAACAATGTCCAGATGACCGACACGATACAAGCGGCTAGTCCATATGATCCAGGTTTCGTGGCTGAAAAGCCTGGGTGGAACTCCTCAGGCAAGTCGAGCAGCAAAGGCAAGAAGTGGAGGCTAGTGGCCATCCTGGCGCTTGCCCTTCTTGTCGCTGCCGGCATAGCCCTCGGAATAGTATTCGGTGTTGTGCTCAAGCGTGGCGGGGACGACAAGAAGCAGGGTGAATCCGCTGCTGATGATACGGCAAAGAATGGGGATCTCGACATCAACTCCTCCGAAATCCAGGCGCTCATGAATAACCCCGACCTGCACAAAGTGTTCCCAGGCATGGATTATACGCCACTTAATTCGCAGTACCCGGATTGTATGCACAACCCTCCCTCGCAAAACAACATCACTCGTGATGTCGCGGTCCTGTCGCAGTTGACCAACACGATTCGACTTTACGGCACCGATTGTAACCAAACCGAGATGGTCATCCACGCTTTAAAGCAGCTGAAGCTCGACAACACGATCAAAATCTGGCTGGGCGTCTGGCAAGATGGCAACACGACGACTAATGATCGTCAGCTCTCCCAGACGTGGACAATTCTCGACACCTACGGCGAGAAATGGTTCAAGGGTCTGATTGTAGCTAACGAGATTCTGTTCCGCGAGGAAATGAGTCTCACCAGTTTGAGCACACTTCTCTCCGACGTCCGCACAAACCTCACCTCAAGGGGCATGAAGCTACCCGTGGCGACCAGCGATCTTGGCGATAACTGGGATGAATCGCTGGCCAAGGTGAGCGATTACATCATGGCGAACATCCACCCTTTCTTTGGCGGCGTCAACGTTAAGGAGGCAGCGGCATGGACCACGACTTTCTGGCAAAACCAGGCTGGCGCCTTTATGAAATCGGACAAGTCCAAGAACATTATTAGCGAGACAGGCTGGCCGTCACAGGGTGGGTCGGACTGTTATCCGGATACCAAAACTACCAATTGCCCCGATCGTGCGGTTGCTGGAATCACCCAGTTGAACCAGTTCATGAACGATTGGGTATGTCAGGCACTCGCCAACGAAACTAATTATTTCTGGTTCGAGGCCTTTGACGAGCCATGGAAGGTCCGGTTCAATACCGAGGATCAACAATGGGAAGACCACTGGGGTCTTATGGACGTTGACAGGAATTTGAAGAAGGGTATCAAGATTCCGGATTGCGGTGGCAAGACCGTAGATTGAGCGACGAGGCGAGAGTTTCGTTCTGGGTTTGTGGTTATAGAAGGACAAAACCCAGACAGCGCCAGTGGTGCGTATTTCGATTTCATTTTCGATGTGGTCTAGGACACCGATGAGTTAGTATTGGATTTGCCGGGGTTATGGTATAACGGGTGCGTGGCTGTTGATGACAAGAAAGCGAGAAAGGCTTCGGTATGTATATGATGGAATGATGACGAAGGACAGGATGGACGAATTATAAGATGAGGACATGGAAAGAGATACATGAATTATTGTCAAGGGTTTATCTGGCGTTTGTATGGCAATGCGTAAAGGATGTTGCTGTATTATTTGTTGGTTTGATATCGCTTGACTTTGTCGAAGGAGCAGGTCCTTCGAGAAGCCTGTCCGTCTTTTGCTGTACTTGATCGCGATATATAACAAGGGTATTATGGGAAAAGATATCGCTGTGGGGCTTGCTTTGCTTGAGTTGAACTAAACGGAGGGAATGCCTTGGGTTGCGTAGCTTTGCATTATCATCAGCTCCATGCGTGAGCTGTACCGTAATTCTTCGAGATACCTAGACCACTCTACCGCTCTCCTCTTCGAGTCTTATCATCCATCGCCTGCGTGAGCAATCTCTCTACAGTAGTATGTCAGGGTATCAGTCACCACTAGCGCATAGACCTTGAGTTTCATATCGAGCATATCAGTAACAGATCACTTCGACGTTGGACAGCCAGTCAGTCAATCGGTCGATAGGCCTCTGTCTCCAAACCGGTCCGTCCGGATAAGTTTCTCTTCCCCCCGCCTATCTACCGCTTAGGCAAAGGGTAGGTACGAAGGGAGTTACAAAGAAAATATGACATGTCAAGTGTTTTTAACACGAGGCCTCCGACGACTAGCGGACCACCCAGACCTTCCACCGTAACGGTGAATCGGCCCTCTCAAGTCCCTATGTCGTTCCACGTGTCACTCACCAGATATATCTTTCTTTCGGCTGCAAAGATAAAGAGTCTGTCGTCCGTCGTAGTAGTAGTACTACCGGTAGTGGTAGTGGTAGTGGTAGCAAGGTCAAGGTATGTACATACATATGTGACTGTGACTGTGACCGTGACCTTGACCTTGAACCGTGGATATGAACCATGGTCCATGGGCTGTGTACACGCACGTCCTGTGACTGTGGTCGTGATCGTGGTCGTGATCATGAATCATGACTTTTCACATTCACATTCACGGACTGGACGGATTCTCCATATGCCTGTCAGACTAGATAGACAGATAGGCCCGTCCGACGGACGGACGGATCCAGCCAAATTAACTCCGGTAGTAGTTGCTGTGAAAGAGGTAGTATGTATTAGTCGTCGTGGTGGTAGTCGTGGTTGGAGTAGTGGCAATGAGACCCTACCTAGGTAGATGATGGACGTAGGTGATCTGTCAGGTGCTACAACACAAGACATACATAGGCGACTAGGTAATGAATAAATTCCTTGGAGGATCCATCCATCCCCATTTGTAATGTACTGTAGTAGGATATTGTGCTGCGGGAGATTTCAGAGTCTCATTGCCAGAGTTTTGTTGCCTACTTACAAGGAAGGAAGGTTATCTTAGCGAATAGGCCATGGTTCATCCGCTATGACATGTTCGACTTTTTGAGATTACACGTGTGATGTGATATCAATCCGTCGTCGTTATCATGGTGGTGGTGGGTACGTAGATTGGCTGGCTGCTGATTGACAGTTAACGGCCATTTTTATATTACATGCTACCCTGTAATATTCCCGCCCTGTTGATCATCCATGGCGGATTGACAGCAGGGCGGTTAAGACGACCCTGACTGAGTCCGATCTGATATGCAACTGCCTGATCCACCGATTAACCTCGGAGGCGTGTTGAATGATCCTCAGGGTTTTAGCTGCTGAGTGTCCGTGTTTGGTGTCAGTTGGGGGAGTGGGCTTTAGATGTGAGGCAGAGTTCTACTGGTGAACTGGAAAATTGCTTCCCTTCCTTACCGCTTTCATATCTTCTATGGTTGGCTTTATTAAATCTCGTCATGAAGTTCTCTGCCTTGTTCGTTGCATGGCTCGCTGGCTGGCAAAGGCCTCTGCGGGTGAGTCAGTCATTTTGCATCTGGATGCTCATTTCACCTTCATCTCCTGGATGTTCTTTGTTACATTTGCTACTCCTACGTCAGTCCCCGGTTATCCTCTTCCTTTGAACTCTTGATTCTCAGTATGCAAGGTTCCTTCTCGGTCTCTTGGTATCTCGGTACCTACCGACATGATAGACGCCACTGCGTTGTGCGCCTCGGTCACGGTTCGAATGATGAGCGACTCGACAAACCTTCGACCAAGAATATCACATATGATGCAGTAAAGGGCATCATATGATGAGAATATGTGAAACGCTGACTCCTTTTTTTCACCGCCTCCATAGTCTCGCCCCGGGACTTCTTGTGAAGTCGTTCGGGCTCACAATGCGGAATGCTTGAAGTCCGGTCAACGTCCGGATTCGAGTTTCTTGCCTGAAAGTTGGCATCATCTGGATGTTAACCGTAAGCCAAGTAGAACAAACCCGGCTTTCCCAGCTCTTACTTGTTTCAAAATCAGCCCCGGCTCCTGTCGAGTCAATTGAGTAATGACAAATGATTTGGTGGACGAAAATCCGTGAATGGTTGGAAAGACACTACCCGACAATAAGGGACATTGTTTCTCAATGTTCGGCAGGAACTATCCGATTCTAGCCGGCCATTTTCCCATCATGTTGCGAATCCCTTCATGTCAGTGGCTAGGTGCTTGTTTGTTTTGTCTCTCCTCCTTGCAAATTCTGACATCGTCATCACAAATCCAAGCCAACATTTCGATGCCGAACCGTGAGATGACGAAAGAGTAGCAACACTTTGTTGGCCCAAGTCATGTCCTCTTACTCCGCCCAACGAACTCTTTTTTCACCGCCGACGCTCTAGCCGCCTACGTCTCACAAGCGGAAGAGCTGGGTCATGCGTGCTTGCAATACTGCGGTGCTGCGGCGTGTCAACCCTTTGCAGGCGCTCGCAGGATACATTGTGCGTACGCATCTCGACTATAGATGCCCAAGCAGAATGGATAGAAGTCTTCAGTGGAACATCATTATGCCTCCTCAGCCCAAAGGTAGAATATTCTCATGCTGTGTAACTTGAGGACATGTGACAGCGGCTTGTGGTTTGTTACATAATACCAAACTGACATGCTGTTTGGGTACCAAGTAACCAGGTAGGTAGATCCTGTATCTGAGTATTCCAATACTCTCATACCAAGATCGGGGAGGAAGGCATGTAGTTGCTGCGAGGATGAAAAACTTGCTGCAAGGATTGAAATGGGAACAAAACTCTCTATGTTTGCCTGAGATCTGGATCCGGAGTTTACGGAGTGCAACTCAGCCGAATCTCGACGAAGCCTGAATCTGTGCTTGAATCTTTGGTTAGGTCGATGTACATGAAATAGCGAGCATCCTTCAAGCCAATGACAAAGTAATTGGGGGTCGAGTAAAGATGATTCTTTTCCTGTGGGAAATGTGGCTTGTTTACTTACGAGTACCGGTTGGGCCTAATTCGATATGCCCTGACTTAGTATCCTGCCTCAGTGGCCCGGCAAATTGTGCTGCTTCGAATGGCCTTAAGTCGACCAGTCCAGGTAGAAGATGAAGACGGGGTACAGGTGGATTAGCTGAGATCATGTCTGACGAGATCTTGTGTGTCGCAAATCGATTGCTTGATTCAGCACCCTGATGATCAGCTTCGGTACTAGTACAGTGCCTTTGTAGATCTGTCATGTATGTCATCCGGCAGTAGTTGGTTGTGATGACCGGCGACACCTGCGTGGCGTATGGTAATTTTGCCAATTGGGTCGTGGCTTCCCCAACACGTCCTCTCTTATAGTCGGGAGTCGATTCCGAGAGGGTGGTAATCCCCATGCGAGCACACCCATTGACGGGTCACAGAAGCTCAAACAAGGAAGATCAAACAAGTCCCAGAGAGACAAAGATGCAATGAATGGCGAGGCTGAAGCCAGGAGGAATTGTGTGTGTGTGCGTGTAAGACACTGGCCGCCATCTGCGCTGCTTCAGTCCAAATCTCAGATATTAAAACCTTATGCTGACGACGTATGACGGCCTGTCAAATGTCGACGAGCAGAGGAACGATAGGCGAGATTGTCCCGAGGTAGACACCCTGGCATGATACCCCCGCGCGTAGTCGGTGGAGGAATGGGGGAAAAAAGAAAATGTCGAAGGGTCAGAATCTCATCAAGACAACCTTGGCATCATGAGGCATGATGCGATCGAAGAGAAGTTGAAGCTGAACCGCCGGTAGTGCTCTGGCCTCAATGTGGGATGATCACCAGGAGTGATAAGATCAGGGATTTGATTGGAGACCGGCTGGGAAATCTAGTGATGTGGTAGCTATGCGGGCGGGGTGGTATGGGGTGGTATGCATGGTGGTGCTGATATGACCTTCCCCTAAAGGGGGGAACGCTTCATTTGCTAAGCCCAGTATTGCGACCTAGCACCTTGCCCAGGTGTGCCAATCTGGCACCTACCGAGCCAACGACGAATCTTGATGGAGTTTACGAGCGGCGTTAGACCCCCAAGTGATATGGATAATGGCTGGCGGTATGGGTCAGGGTTGATATGCAGTCGTTGGTGCAGTTTGTTGTCCTGTTGTTAAGGTGTCAACCCAGCAGGCGCTGGCAAGGTCTCTGGTCTCGGTATAGGGTGGTCTCGTGGATTAAGGCGCTGACAGATATAATAATAGCTGGGCGGAGACTCCAGGCGTCACCTGAATTTCCCGCCGCTGTCATTTAGCTTCGATATCCCCTCATCTCAGGACCGCCCAGGGTTTCCTCATAACTCTCTCCCGGATGGGATATGCTACCTTCTGCGTCAGCAAATTTCACCATATGAGTTGATGTGACTCTGTAACCGGCTTTTTTTGGGTCAGATCCAAACGTTGATAAGTATGCACAGTCCGTACGGTGTCTGGCGTCGTATCCTTCGCACAGTTTGGGACCCTTTGCTAACGGTTACGAGGTACCGCGCCCAATTCATCAACGGAGACCTGTCGTGGTTACCGTTTTGGTCCGAAGCCATTCCAGTTAGGGGTTGACAGGCGGTCCAGAGGTAACAGAGCCTCCCAATTTGGCACTGTAACTTTGTTTGCCAAGGTCACGGCTAACGCATCCGAATCTAAGAGTCGGGGTATCTTCCGGATCAACATAAACGTGAGACACGGCTGTTCAGCCAAGAAGCGCAGTGCACCAGGCCCATGACACTTGCCTGAGGGACGACGCGACATCAGACTACTTGAACTTCCTCTAAGATTGGACTGCTAGGTCCGCGAGAAAGACAAGTTGGTTGATGCCCTCACCACGTTCGGCAAACGAATCGACCATCATCAACAAGAGGTTTCCACCAGGGAGCTTGACCTTCCTCCTCCCCGTTCTTTAATATTTTCATCTCCCTACGCTCCGCCGGTCAACTTTCAAAGACCACGCCGCCTTGAGCCGCCAAAATGGCACCGTATATACAGGAGCCGGACATGCTGTCTAGCTCCGAGTACTGGGTGGTAGACAGGAGGATTGTGATTGCGATACCCAATCCCAGCGACCACGTGGACCCACACAGGCTTGCCATTGAATCGCCAAAGCATGGTATCAGACACTCGTTGATGGAGGCAACTGCACCGCTTGATACAGTCCATGACCTATCGTTCGGCGTGGAACTAAAGTTCTTGCTCCCTCTCCTTGTCCAGGGTGAACGAGATCCGGAACCCGAAGACCACCGAAAGGTCAACACGACACGGCTCAGAGACAGCGAAGCCACTCGGCGAGAACAGGTTTATGAATGCATCGCCAAGTCGATAAGCCAAGCCGGGGAGAAGTCAACCACCATATCTCGAATCACAAAAGATGCAAGCCATGAGCGGGCATTCTGGAAGTCGCACTGGATCGTCAAGAAAGCTAACTCGGCCGAACCCACACCAGAGCAAGCCAATCTGGAGGGCTATGTGTGGCTGTCTGTCGAAGTAAGCTCGCCATCATTGCCAGCCAAGGATGCCGAGACCAGGCATCGAATCGAGGCAGTATTGCGTTCGCTCTTTTCGAACCACCGTCTGGTCGCAAACTACACATGCGAAGTCCACATCCACATCGGACGAACAGACGGACAGTCTTTCAGTCTGAGCACCCTGAAAAGACTAGGAACGCTGCTGTGGATGGGAGAAGAGCAAATCCGAAGTATCAGAAACCCAAGGTCGCCCAACTATCACAACGTGTATACTTGGGGGTTCGAGACACGAAAGTATAGTCGCCTGGCTTTGAGAGCTCAAGAACTAGCACTCCGAGAGCATGGGTCGGCATCTCATCACGACGATGTGTTTGTCGAGGATTGGCAGGTGACGGACGTACTCGAAACCCATCCGGAAATGCAGACCAAAGACCGAAAGGCTATCGAGGAGCTGTGGAAAGCAGGATCCCATGTTGACCTTGGACGGTTGTTGTCGGGAGAGAAGAAGCCGTATCGCCGACTTGGTTTCAACTTTAGCGCATTCGGGCAGGAGGACGAACGGGCACGGAACAACCCTCGGACGATGGAATTCCGTATGATGGAAGGGACAACCAACATCAATTATATCCTGGGCTGGTTGTCCATCTGCAAGGCCTTGGCTGAGGTGGCGGTAGGGAGGTCAGACAGTCGATACCCCATGGTGTTGGATCGGCTGATAGGACAGCGACACGCCCGGTCACGGTCAGCCGGAGCCCGGCGAGAGACCGTTTCGGAGACGCAAGGGCAGAATGCGGTCGGGAGTTTCGAGAGATGATGGATGACCTGGGTGTCCCACGAGACGTCTATCGAGATCTGGAAGCGAAGGTGACACTTGAAAACGAGGTGTGATTAGCGCGGAGTCGAGACTAGTGCAACAGAAGGGAATGGGTGGAAGCATAAGTACTTAATAGCATTCATGAGCAGGGCTCGGACGGGAAGGATTTCGGCTGCATTGGACGTGTAGAAGTAGACGAGAGAAGGCATTGAGAAGAGACGGGAAATAAGGGTGATGAGAAGCTAAAGTTGAGGAGAAATTGAAAGAAGGCGAAAAGTCGGTGGAAGGAATTAGATGATGCTAGATACCAAGAAAGACCGGTCGAAAGAGGAAGGAGGTTTTTGTGGCTATAGCGTATTCTCTTTTCACAGCATCGGCCACTCATCGGAGCAGGAGCATACGGTACGGAAATACAGTATATTCGTCCTCTAGATCCTTCCTCACCGCCGAGAAGTATTGCCGTACACAACACAAAGCAGGCCGTGTGTCCGCGACTGCCGTTGTTGTTAACACCGTCGGGATGCAGTGACGATGCACTTCGAGAGTTCGTCTGCTCCAATCGCGGGGCGGACAGCGAAGTGGGTCAGGCCCTACGCACGTTCCCCTGCCCGTCAAGGTCCCCAAGCCAAGTGGGGACTGAGAGCAGCATCGACCAATCACATTCAGAACTGACACAAAGACAGCCCTACCGCCTATTGACACCATGCAAGCAACCATCGTGACATCATTATTGTCTGTTTACTTTGCAGAGGTCGGTGACAGTTCAATTGATCAAAGAGAAGGAGCCGTTTGCAGAGTCCTGCATAGCAATTGTATTGTGGTGCCTCCACGGCTCTTGCCTTTTCCAGGTCTCTCCCTCTCTCTCTTTGCTCTCCACGTAACTCTTTGTCTCCTTCCTTCAACCTTCAACCGGAGCGCTGAATCCTCGTGTTACTTCCATCCATTTGTCAATTTCTGAGAAACCCATCAACATGGCGCCCACTACAAGAGAGGCTTCCAAAAGGGAGGAGAAGGCTCCTGACACGGCACCTCCTGCCTCCGAGGCCGAGCCCGGCTCCAAGCACAAGGTCGATCCTGACACTGAAGGCGCCAGCGAGTCGCCCAAGGCGAAGCGAACCAAGACAGAGACTGCGGATGACGAGTCGACGAAGAAAGAAACCAAGGACACCAAGGATAGTGGTGCTGAAGCTGAGAAGGCCGAGGGCCAAGTAGAGGACAAGGCTGTCCAAGAAGACAAGAAGACTGCTGTTGAGCCGCACGGTCGAGAGGCATCCAAAGCTGTGCCGTCCAGTATCCTCGAGAAGGGCATCATCTACTTCTTCTTCCGTGGCCGGGTCGGCATTGATGAGCCTTCTGCCGTCAATGAGATTGCGCGGAGCTATATCCTACTCCGCCCGATCGAGCAGGACGCCAAGCTCGGAAGCGGTCCCATTGGTGATGCTGGCAACAGCCGCTTATGTGCCATCCCAAAGAAGGTGCTCCCCCAGTCTGGCAAGGACAGATGGATTTCTTTCGTTGAGAAGACCGGCGCCTCGTTTCAGCAGCTCAAGGATGAGTTTCTGGCGTCCAATGACTATGATACCATGACAGCCGGAACCAGACACTCTCCCGCCGCAACGCCTGTGGCTGAAGGCGTGTATGCGATCACCAGCACTGGGTCCGATAGCCACCTCGCGTACATTCTCACTATTCCCGAAGAACTTGGGGAAGTCCAGAAGGAGATTGGTCTGAAACCGAAGGGCAGCTTCATCATCAGCACCAGAAACCCGCAATATCCTGCTCCAGCCAATGTACGTTTACCAAAGGGCCCAGACTATCCTGAGGAGTAAGTTCACCATGCCATATCATTGACCCATGTCCACCAAAGCAAAAACTGATAAGTGTATTGCAACAGAATCCTGAAGGAGTTTCGGTCTCTCCGATGGATGTCCACACAGCCCAAGCACCTCGACTATGTCAATACTCAGTTCCTTCTTGTCGGCGAGTCGTCCGGTGTCGAAAAGGCTCTAGAGCCCCAGAAGTCCGATGAGAAAGAGAACAAGCAAGAACCTGCCGAGGAGTTGGAGAAGCTTGAGGAAGAGGATTTACAGAGGCTCAAGGGTCTAAGCGATGATGACTCTGGTCGGATCTTTGCAGATCTGAAGGTCGACGCTGATGACTATCCTAAGCTACAGACCACGTTCTGAGAGTCGATTACTTGATCTGGAACAACCCTGACTTGCTGATGACGAGCTCTCAGCGCCGTTCACCCCGCTTGTGTCAGCATGCGGACGCCACCTTTGTCGATGGATTCTACCAACTTACAGCATCCAGTAAGGACATCAGCCACTCGAACCAAACCTGCCCCTATCCGTTTCCGCGCCAACTCTCCATCTACGACAACAAATAAGCCCCCTAGCTTGCCCCACCTGGGTATCTGTAACACAGCGTCTTACTTGTGGACGGAATTTCGATCACCACAAGCCCTTGCTCAAATATGGAGAGTTCTGTGTGTTTCAAGCTTTGGAGGACCCTGGATACACATGTTCGACACTTCACATAAACTATAATCCAGTCGCCGAGTGGGAATTACCTGGAACGAAATGTAATCCAGTCGCCGAGTGGGAATTACCTGGAACGAAATGTAGTCAGAAACAAGGTTCAATGTCAAGCACGAATGCAAATGAAGTAAACAACGCAGCCAAGGAATGTGTGTGGTTCCGACAGTTCATACGTGATCTTTCAATTTGTAAGCATGTTGAACAATTGTCGATTTGTCAACGCGCTCACATGATGCACAAATGTGGTAAGTGTGTTGAATGATGATTGCCTGCATTAACAATATTAGTGCATGGCAGATTCAATCCAAACACGTGACTTCAATATTTGTACATACACTAAACCCCCTCTTCCTAGTTTGATTCCTTTCTAGTTTCTCTCCTTAACCTTTACAACAACAAAAAAGAAGGATCACGTTACCTATCTTGTTGTTGTTGTGACCCTTATTATTTCAATAAAGTAAACCTCGGTAACATTTTACGAACCGCTATTATATGTTAAACGACGGTCAATTGATTTTCCTGCGTATAATTAGAGCAGTTACATAAGGGGGAAAAAACCTTTCCATGAGAAGCACAGGTGAACGCTAGAAAAAGGAAAACATTGAAGAAATAAAAACCAAGGGAAAGAAATAATGTAAACTTTGCAAAAAAGTGCAAAAAGAGATGCCCAATAACAGGATTGAACTGTTGACCTTCGCATTGACTTGATATCAGAAGACTGATATTAGTACGACGCTCTAACCAGCTGAGCTAATCGGGCTTCGTTGAATAAGTAGCCAAAGCGTTAGTTACACTAATATTGCAACTGGCAATGACAAGTAATTTTAGAGTTGGGAATCTCCATAGTTTTGACCTCGACAACAAAGCATTAGATTTTGAGCCAGTGTCAGCAACAATAACATCATAGCCAATTGACAATCAGTGGCTCTCTTACATAAGAATGCTGTTGACAAGTCTTTGTTTCCTGGGCTAAACTGTCAAAGATTTGCGATGATGCTTGGGTCGAGGCCACCTCGGACCTCACGATTCTTCAATCTGACTTGTCTGTTCGGACTCGATGTAAACATCAACTTGTATAGGTATATGGCGGGTAAAGGTTTTTATTGCTCCATGTGCGATTGCTGTATTTCAAATCGTTGCTTACAAACTGAGCGGGCCGAGTCCGCGTGTCCGCCCTGATCTCATATCACGACATCAGTCGGTCGACATCTCGGTATATCACCACTTGTGTTGTTGGTAGGATTGAGATGAATAGAAATATTTGATCAAAGAACTGTCATCATGCCGTAGAACCTCACTTCATGAGTCCAACACAACCCTCCATTCCCGTTTTGAGCTTCTAAACTGCCCTCAACCTCCTCTGCTACCTCCACGAGCACGAAGATGCTCCCCAAACTACCTCCAACCCTTTCCTTCCTAGGGAGTCTCCTCCCCGTCCTCATACACCCAACACTCAGTCACAGCATTCCCGCTCATCCACCCTCCCATATCTCTCACAACAATCCGCTCTGCACCCCCCTCTCCTTCACCCTCACAGCAACCGCCTCCCACCTCTCCCTCGCCTCCCCTCCCGACCCTTCCAACGCAACCGCCATCCTCGCCATGGTCAACCAATCCTGGGACGGCACTCTAGTGACCAACGGCACGCAACGCGTAGGAGGCACATATACTCTCAGAGCCATTTACTGCCAGCCTGTTCCTGCCTCTGTCCATCCCAAATCCCACAAGAATGGAAAGGAAAATGGCGATGTCCTTCAGATTCTGCTCCACGGAGCCACCTACAGCAAAACCATGTGGTCCGGCTTCGGCTTCGGCTATCCCTATGACTGGCACTCTTTCGCGACCTCCCAGGGATACCACACCTTGGCCATCGACCGGTTGTCTCACGGGGAGAATGATCCGCGCGGCATCGATCCGTTGAGGGATGTGCAGATGGGCCTACAAACCGAACTCTTGCACGAACTTATTTCCTTGGTCAAAGCCAAGCCCAAGCCCAACCCCAACCCCAACTCCAGGTCAAAGTCAAAGTCAACCTCCCCAAAAAACAACCCTTTGAAAAGGACATTCAACAAAATCGTCCTAGTAGGCCACTCCCTAGGCTCCTACCTCTCTGTGTCCCTCGCGCGGTCTTACCCCCGCGACGCCTCCGCTTTAGTTTTAACCGGCTACAGTTCAAAGCTCAACACGCAGCACGTGTCCTCCGCACCCTGGGCACCCGCGCCTTTTGTTTTTCCCGATCGGTTTCCTGCTGATAAATATCTTCATAACCTGGAGTTCCTCACCGTTGCGACGCTTGAAGGTCGCACAAAGGGGTTTTACGATAACGTTACAGATGCCGCAGGCAAGCCGTACGCGTATGACCCCGAGCTGGCAAGGACGGATTATTTGTACGCGGATGCGAACACGTTGGGGGAGGTGGTGAGTTTGGGTGATTGGGGCGTGGGACCGGAGGAGTTTAGGGGAGCGGTGCTGGTGGCGACGGGACAGAGGGATTGGGTTTGTTGTAGTCCGCCTGAGGAGGAGTGTGTGAAGAGACTGGAGGAGACGGGGAAGACTTTCTCAAGGGCGAAGAGGTATGAGTTTTGGGCGCCCGAAGGGACCGGACATGATTTGACGCTGAGTTATTCAGCTGGGAAGACTTTGGAGGTGGTTCATAAGTTTTTGGAGAGGGAGGTTTGAGTTTGTAAGCTAAGATACTTGAAAGGAAGAGATTGGACGAAGGAAGGAGAGATGAGTGACCATGGGGATGAATGGGCAGTGGCTGACCGTCAACGGATTATAAATTGCAGAGTATCTCAGTATTTTTTCATCTCGAGTTATACGTCTTTTTCGCTCGCTCTTTGTTTACCAGATACTACTCGCTGCGCCCGCCTCTGCTATATTTTACCGCTAGTCAACAACACCCTGCGGCAAGATAGCAACATAATCCAACGGTACCAACTCGTTCCCATCAGCCACTCCCGTAATCTTCAACACATCTCCCTTCTGGATCTGCACGTCGCGAATAGTAACCCTCGTAGCTGAGTGTCCGTCAAGCTTCGTAGAGAAAGCATGGCCTAGCTTATCTTCCAGATCCCCAGCCCACTCCAACAACAGCTTCCCATTGAGGAACGCCTTATAGCGTGCCTTACCACCGATCAAGTCAAAGTAATTGATGGCAACATCGTACTTGCCCGAGTCAAAGTTGAGTTTCGTGCTAGCTTCTCCCGATGTGTTGTTGGAGACCAGAACTACAGCAGTCAGATTCGACGCCGTCTCAACCGGGTTGACACCGGTAAGTTTGTAGTTCTTCAGTGTCATGGTCTCTGCCTCGATCCTGTACTCATGCTTTCCCACACGACCCGCTACGTCTGGGATGCCGGAAAGATTGTGGTAGAACTGGCAAACGGAATCGCGCCAGACGATGGAGTGACCGGCTTGGTAGCGGAGGCGGAAGAGAACGTCGTTGAAGCGATCGGTGTCAATCTTCTTCCTAAGTGACTCCCATGCGATGGGGAACGTCTGGGCCGTTTCGGCACCAGCGTAGTGAGCATCGTAAAAGTGCTGGATCACGGACTTGCCGGACTTGAGGACGTGCGTGTAGTTCACATGGTGGAACCAGAGGAGAAGGTCATCCGGAGTGGTCTCGATGCTTTCGAACTTCCCGGCTACTTCGGCGGGATACTGGCCGGAGAACCCGGTGCCTGTGGAGACCGTTCTGTCCATGCCGATCCCGTCATGATCTGCACGCGTCCATTGTCCCCAACCGTTGTTGTCCTGGGATGCAGGATTCGGACCGTAGTGGGTGTACAAGATATCGGTCAGTGTCTGGATACCAAGGTTGCCCGTGTAGTTTTCGTATGCTGGCCAGGAAGCCATGGATATTTCCGTTATAACTCCAAGTACAAGAGGGTCTGAGCCAAACGTGAGTCGCGTCCAGTCTGCAAGTAGAGCTTGCGGGTCTTGCGTGGGATCCCAAGCCATACGGCCGTAGGCATACAAGTTCGACATGGCCAAATGGCTCCCTAACCATGTGGTGTTGGTCCCAACATTGACGACACCAGCGTAGCCACCACGCTTGTTGCTGAACCGACGGCCAGCAATAACATCACGGACAAGTGACGGTTGGTCATCAGCACGAAGGTCGAAATCTAGGATAGTCTTCCACAACGGTGCAACGTAGACAAGATGGCTCTGCTGACCCAAGTATTCCTGAGTGATTTGAAGTTCTATGGCGGTGTTTGTCTGGGGTATGTTGGCGAATAAAGGCGACGCGGGCTCCCGAACCTGAAAGTCGATGGGTCCGTACTTGATCTGCACAACAACGTTGTCCAAGAACTGCCCGTCAAGTACTTTGAAGAATTCAACAGCATGATTGGCGCGATCCGCTTTCAGGTCGGCCGGGTTGATGTGATTATCGTAGACAAAGGCTCTGAACATGACAATGCCGCCGTGCGGTTGCGCAGCTTTGGCGAACAAATTTGCACCGTCTGCAAGTGTGCGGTTGTAGGTGAGTGGTCCTGGTTGCCCTTCCGAGTTGGCCTTGACCAGATAGCCTGCCATGTCGGGAATGCGCTTGTAGAGGCGATTCGTCTTGGCGGTCCACCAGGAAATCACCGATTGATCGAGGGGATCAAAGGTTGACAGCCCACCCAACGTCTGGGGCGACGCAAAGTTTAATGATATGCCGACCTGTACACCGTACGGGCGCATTGCGTCTGCTATACGGCCCAGTCCATCGATGTTTGCGTCCGTGAGCAAGTTTGCGTTGGCGTTGACATTGTTGACAATGATGCCATTGATGCCTATGGAAGCGAGTAGCCGAGCATACTGAGTAACCCTATTGAGGTTCTTGGGAATCGCGTTGTTGCTGAAAAAGATGGAAGGGCCGGCATAACCGCGCTCGATGCTGCCGTCCATGTTATCCCACTGATTCACCCATCGGATTGGGGCGTCTGGGTTCGACACCAAGTCGGCATCAGAGAACCTTCCTTGAGCGATTCGCGAGAGATAGTCGAAGGCTCCGTACAAGGCACCACGCTCGGTCTGACCAAGAATGACTACATTTCCCGCTCTCACGCGAAGAAGGTAGCCATCATCAGCCAGCGTTGCGGTAGCTTTCACATCGCCTTTCTCTCTACCGTAGAACTCTCCGGTTGTAGAGACCAAGATGGTTGATCCTATATACTCGTCGGGTTCATGATAAAGGGGAAGAATCTGGTTAAGAATGCTTTTGATGCCGGCTTGCAGCTCCTGGCCTGCGGTGTAAACGGGGCTAGTCTTGTTGGTGCTCAAAGCCATGATAGCACCCGGTAATCGAAGGTTTGAAGGGCGCTGGTCGTTGGGAAGGGGCGCATATCGTAGCCAGCCGTTAATGCCGTTCTCGATGGCCAATCCTGCGGCCGGGAAGGCCAGAAAGCCCCAGGAAATCCGCATCTTGGGTGAAGTTACTTGCTGTACCGGCCTTTGCTCGACTATCAACTCCTGGGCGAGAACTGATCTGGTCCAAGCCAGCAACTCATAACCTGGCGCGGATCATCCGCACTGATATATGCGGCGATGGCATTGTGGTCGGCCTTCCTCTATCTCGTCTCTCGTCATATATCGACGTTGCATCAAAGGACCCCCACTGCTCTGGGGCTGCTTTTCCGGGAGCTTTGGGAGGGGATTATATGAAAAAATCGAGTCTAGGTCATCCGCCGATCAGCCTGAATAGGATACTCCTGCGACTCCGGTCGTCGATCCTCGGTATAACTTCCGACGGTGTTGAGCTGTCATTGGTGGCATTTTACCCTGATTAGTCCGTACTACGTCCAAGGTAGCAGCGAGCCCCGGGACCCGGACCGTGATCGTATCTCTGGAGTGTTTGCAGATCTCTTTGAGTGCTGACAGGAGTTTAAATCTATTTCGGGCATGTCTGATGTCCCCGCGGAAATCTAGTTAGCAGGTGTCAATATGTTGTAGCGGGAAGGGACGCTGACTGACCTGCAGCCTCAAGGGCACTTCAGCTCGATGGACGACATTGTTGAAAACGGCAGCATCTTGGAATACTTTGAGGAGGCGGAATGGACGAAGCCGAGCAAATATCGGGAGGCGGTTGCGAGGACAAGACAGAGATCATTTCGAGTCGGAACACATGCGGACGGCGAGTGGCGAAGTGCGAAGTGCGAAGGGAATTTGAAGATGTCGGACAAAGTCGGAAGGTGCGCTATGCAAGGAAGCAGCGAGGGAGGTGCCGGGTTAAGAAACCGCAATGTTGCGGATTGTTGAAGTCCAGGCGCGGCCCGAGGAAACAAATATTTCCTGTCACGGGTTCCAACAGTAATTGATCCTGTTGTCCGTGTTGTTTTGTAGAACTTGTAGCTAGGTAGCTTCCTATGGCACGAGAAACACAAGATGGGGTGATGTTGGTTGATGGGCCGGGAACCTCCAACATGGCGTGACAATCGAACCACGCGGGAAGGCGCATGGTGCTGCCCCACGAGAAGCAGGTACCTTGAGCGCTTGCATCACCATGGCATTTTGACCTTCAAAAACACCATTTGTCCTCCAGAACTTTGGTATTTCCCAGATCGTATTTCCGTCTTCAATCATCTGAAGCTTTTATACACATCTTTCTGATTCGTAGCCACCTTGTTTTGTCCGAGTTACTCCAGGACATCAAGGTCCCCCGCTAACACTTATACCCGCCCCCGCCCCCGCCAGTTCCACCAAAACCACGGGCCAGTTTCATCAGCACTGACTTGGGTTACTGCAATCTAGAACATCATCACTACCTACTTCGCCTTCATAAAACGTGCTGTTTCGTTTTTCTTCTACTTCTTTGAAACATTCCAAGAAACACATCCATATTCTGTTCTTGGCTTGTAAAGGCAACAGTTAGTCACAATGGCGCCTTCAACAAGCTCGAACTCTGCTAGAAGCAGAGCCCCGATGCAGCACATCGACCGCAAGGAGCTCTACACCAGTCTTGAGGCGCGCATCCGTTATCTCCATTCCTTCCTTGATTTTGGTAGCAGTAAGTTGAGAAATGTATCTGCGCCACACATGGACGAGTATGTCTTAACACCCTTCTCTCAACTACAGATGACATCGAAGCCCTCTCCTCGGGCGCCAAGTACATCCAGGCCCTGATCCCCGCCGTCGTCAACATCGTCTACAAGAAGCTCCTCCAGTACGACATCACGGCGCGCGCCTTCCAGACGCGCAGCACCGCCTTCGAGGGTCCCATGGACGAGACCCCCGACGAGCAGAGCCCCCAGATCCTCCATCGCAAGATGTTCCTGCGCGCATATCTTAAGAAGCTATGCTCGGACCCGACGCAGATGGAGTTCTGGGAGTACCTTGACAAGGTGGGCATGATGCACACCGGACTGGGACGCACGCACCCGCTACACATCGAGTACATCCACATCGGCGTCTGCCTGGGCGTCATCCAGGACATTCTCAACGAGGCCATCCTGTCGCATCCCCGCCTGCCCATGCCCCGTAAGATCGCCTTCGTCAAGGCCCTGGGCAAGATCATTTGGATCCAGAACGACCTATTCACCAGGTGGTATGTACATGATGGTGAGGAGTTCACGGACGGAATGGACTTTGGCGTCGTTGAGAAGGAAGGGTTCTTGCATGGCAAGAAGGTGTTGGATGAGACTGCTGAAGCTGCTGCTAATGGCGGCTCGGCCTGTCCTTTCTCAGCTACTGTTGAGAGTAAGGACTGGGCGGCGGCGGCTGCTTCTTCATCTGGTAACACATGTCCTTTCTCTGGAGCCAGCAAGGCGATGGAGGGTCTCAGCATTAAGGACAAGAAACCTGTGCTCGCAGCTAAGGACAACGAGGACGCCAGGTCTGATACCACGGAGAAGCCGTCTCGTTAAGGGAAAAACCTCTGACAGTGATGTTGAGAAAGACGAGCGTTGTTGTATTATGAACGTCATGACTGGGGTTGCATTTCGTTTTTTTCCTTTCTTTTTCGGTATCGCTTTTTCTGGAAGGGCAAGCGGGAGTATTATTACGTTCATCATTGTCGAGGCGACGTGGGACTTGGCTTCTGGCGCGTGCATGGAAGACGACGGTCGGTTGGTATTGGGTCCCACTTCCTTCATGTATTATACGCAGGTTACGGTCCTCTTTGTTTGGTCCATAGACGATAGAGGCATTAAGGGGTTTCTTCCTACTATGAAGCCTTCATACGTCTGACAGTTGCAAACGGATGAGACAGCCATGTGAGTGGCGCATGCCACTGGCGAGCAAATGTGATCCATGAAACACGGCAGCGGCGCCCGCCACGTTGGTGATATTATTGCATCCGAGTCAACCACGGCACAGGCTGGAACTTGGCCGGGTGTCTGGCTACGCCTGTTTCAGCCCCATCCGCGAAGCTAGCTTCTCTATCTATAGACAGAGAAGTCACCAGGCACGAATCTTCCCTGCGATATACCAGTATCAAGACGAGCACGTCGCGATTCATGTAGTTATCGGAGGGGTAGGGGAAGATCTTGGGTAGACGGAAGGAAGGGGCAAAAGATTTGTGTCCGTGAGGGGAATGGGATTGTTGATAACCAAACACCAAACTGACTTGGGTGGAGAACGCATCGATGCGAGCACCCAGTCCCTGTCTTGTCTAGTCCCATAGAATACTGCATGAGACTGCGTTTACATAAGGTGTCTCTTCACCTAACCATTCATCTCGGTCGTCAAACTCAAATTTGCACTCCCGCAACCGTCCAGTCTGTAACTGCGGCTTAACAAGACGAGGCAAGAGAATTTGCTAGAACTTTGTCACCTTTTAAAACGTCGTTGCAACTTGTCAAACCAGCTCGGAGACCACCGAGATTGGGACGGATCAGCATCCCGATTCAAGAGATTATGTTGAGTCCTGTTCCACCTCCATGTGTTTGACTTCGGCACATTACTTATCAACGCAATATTCCACACTCCCTAACGACTCACTACCTAATCGATTATTCCATACATGGACTTGAAGTTGAAAAGACACTGCGTAAATGCCAACAGTTCCAGGCAGTATGAACAGTGTCGATACATAGATCTATCTCAGGGTGTTTCTAGATGACGTTCATTCATGCTGTAGTGATAGAGACTTCTACCAGGAAGTGGCAAGTTGTTCCTGGAAAAAGGGCTGGCTGTTGATGATAATAAAAAGGAGAGGCCGTATGAGTGAAACAAAAGCCAGTTTAAGCAGTGGAGGTCGACCTTGTTACAACAGAACTAGCACTCCTTGACTCAAGACTTACCATATCACCCCATTGTACGACCGAACTTAGACCGTTTTAAATCGGATTAGAGAGGGCTTGGAGGGCTTGAAGTCCGCATGGCAAGCTGACACACGACACGACGGCGAAACTGGCTGAGGAAAACTGGAAAGGGTAAGATTGACCGAGACAAGTGTATAAGTCAATGTAGTCATTACTGCTAGGATCACTTTGAGGGTCTTTCCTAGCTGGTTGTCATGAACGGAGGTAAAATTGCTTCCCTCCCACCTCGATCCAGATGCAGTTCCACGGTACCTGAAGTGAGTGAGTCGTGTGCAAAGGTAATCTGCGCGGCTGAAGACCGTTCGTGGGATCTGATGGAAACGAAGTGATTCGTCAAGTGTCAGAATACACCTGGAAACGAGTTCTGGATACCTTCATGTTCAGGCACTCAGAAGGGTATAAAGATGGCCTTGACGACGGCCTGGAAGATGAAGAGCAGAAGTCATCCAACAAGCTTCCCATCTTGACAAGCCTCTTCAACTTGAAGTAACAGCCACTGGACTGCAAGAGCTTTATTCACTCGTTAGCACGCCCATCAACCGCACAGTCAACATGTTGTTTCCTTTCTTCGCAGCCGCATTGCTTTTCTCAACTTGGGGTGCACTCGCAGCCCCAACCCAGCCCCATTCGCAGCTCTCCCGCCGCAGTGGCATCGCCCTACCACCAGGCTACTCCCACATCATTTTCCAAGACGACTTCTCCCTCCTCCCTCCCGGGTCCCAACCCTCGCCCTCCAAATGGATCATCGCCACGGGAACTTCCTACCCCAACGGCCCCGCCAACTGGGGCACCAACGAGATACAAACCTACACCAAGGCACTCTCCAACATCAACATTACCTCTTCGGGGACTTTACTCATCACTCCTTTGCGCGTCAGCGGCAGCGGAAGCGGTAGCGGCAATGTTCTCGATTCCTCCTCATCCACCTCCTCTTCCTCCTCCTCCGCCGCCGCCGCCGCCGCCGCTGCCCCGGACAACGGCAAAGATAACTGGACATCAGCCCGCATCGAAACCGTCGCCGACCACATCGCCTGTCCACCCGGCGGCAAGCTGCTCATGTCCGCCTCTCTCAAATTCGGCTCTGCCCCTTCCCCGTCACAAATGGGCATCTGGCCGTCCTTCTGGGCTCTGGGATCCGAGTTCCGACGTTCCGGCAAGTTCGACCAGTGGCCGGCAGCGGGGGAGATCGACATAGCCGAGAGCACCAACGGGTCACCGGACGTGTGGCGTCTTTGCACTGCGGGACCGCCCCCGGCGGGCCGTGCAACGAGTTTTCTGGGCTGAGCACCGCCACGTCGCTGGAGACGTTGAGGGACGGGAGGACGTTCCATGTTTTTGGGGCGGAGATTGACAGGACAAACGCCGGAGGGGACTGGAAAGGGGAGAAGTTAACGTATTTGGTGGATGGCAAGCCGATGGTGGTGTTGACTGGGACTGAGATTGGGGATGAGAAGGCTTGGACGGCTGTGACGAGGAGTCCAAAGTACTTGATTTTGAACGTGGCCGTGGGAGGGGATTTTCCGAATAATGTTGCGAATTTGATGGGGGAGAAGACGCCGAATGGGAAGACGGTCGGAGGGGTCGAGGCTGGGTTGGAGGTTGAGTGGGTGGCTGCTTATAGCAGTGCCTGACCTATGACCTATGGGAAAGTGGTGATGGGCATTGTGGTGATGATATTCTGATACTGCTGATCGGATTTCACAAGTGTGGCATCCTCGACCTCTAATATCGCGATAATCGTGTTGTAGTAAAGAGTCGGCAGTCGGCTAGAAGTCGAATAGATCGAATAGAGAACGCGCGTTCCGTGCTTTTTTTGTGAAAAGCGCGAGAAATGATGAACCTCAAAGTTTCAAAGTGACCGCACAATAATTGGACCGTGTTTCAGGACTCGGACGGAGGAACATGGGATGAACCAATCCGCGTAGACATGACACTGATTGACAGGCGATGCCAGTCGGTGATCTTGCACTTGTCGGCGTTTGCTGCGACCTTTCGAAACACTGAAACCAGACAGGGCAGCCCTCCTCCACCCCCGCAGTACTGTAGCATTCTGGGGCGTCGTGATGAACCGATGGCGCTAACAAAAACACTAAGGATTTCGTGCATAGAACTGTTAGTGCATACCCCTGACGCCGTCACATTTCGTCTTCCGGGGGTCATCCAAGTCACAATTCAGGTACCAGTCCCCGTGTTTGACCAGGGCATGAACCGTCCTCCCCGCTCCGCTCTCGCCCCCACAGTAGGTTACTGCGCCCGAACTTGACCATACAATTGAACGGCTCGGCAAAAGAGATCTTCGACGATTCCAATCTTGGTCTTTTTCTGCTCTGTGCCCGCTGAACGCGTGGGTAGGTGGATGGGGGAGGCGGAAGGCTTTTAATATAAGTAAACCGCCGCGACCCAAGGCGTCCCCCCCTCCCCCAGGTTCCCGTGTACTATTCTGAGAGGAATCCTTCTAGGTCGTCAGGTTGTCTCTCGGTCCCGTGTTTCCAGCTCCCCCTCTTCCATTCTTTTTGTCCATCTCGAACCCGGTGTTCGCTTTCTTCTTGAAACTGCTTGCAGTTCCCTGGCTTTGGTATCGCAGCATTCTTTGATCCACTCACCCTTCTTTTTTTTCTTCTTTTTTTTTTCTCGCAAAGCAAGAAAGAGACGGGAAAGACGGGAAGACGGGAGGGTTGAACAAAAGGCGAAGCTGTGCTTCAAAGAATCTCGACTGCTTCCACCTTAACGTCGTCTTCAACTTTGCCTTCCTTTCTTAACGCTTCATCTCTCGTCGCTGGTTCGACTTCTTCACACCCATACGGCTTTTCTTTTCGGCATACCTCCAAGCAGCTTGACGTTATCGCCAAAACTCCTCAAAAATAAACCAGCAAGATGAAGGCTTCCATTGTACTCGTCTCCTTCCTCGGCTTGGTTTCCGGCATGGTACTCCCCGGCATCCGTCTCAGTCCCAGCGGTGCTAAGCCGCAGTCCCGGTCCCTCTTCAGGCGTGACGACAAGTTGGACTACCGTTATGCTCCACAGGTATGTTGTCTTGTAATGATCCCATCAAGTCAAGACGAGCTTGGGCTAACCCAGCCCTTCTTCCGAACCAGGCGTGCCGTGCCATCCTCACCACATGCCGAGTCTCGTCAGACTGCTGCTCGGGAATGAAGTGCGTGAGCGCTGATGGCGAGTCCGTCTGCACTCCTAGCGACTAAGTCAGCCCGGAGAAATCTTGTGTACGATTATTGGATGGGGTCATTGGTGGCTATCGAGGACTGTTTGCCTGGCTTAGAACGACTGCTGTGTCTCAGCCGGGTCTGGAACTTGGTTGTCACATCTTTTCGTTGTTCATATTCAGGCACTGTTTGTGTCCTTTCAAAACAAACAAATGCCCAGTCGCTAGGTTAAGGGGGCTGTGGTGGGTCGGTTAGCATCTAAAAACAGCATGGACATGGGATGGTTAGAGGGGGGAACAAGGGAGACTATATCATGAGTCCGGCGATAGGCTTAGTTCTCTCGTTATGGTGTTCAGACGTAAAAGTCGAAAATATATCTAAATCCAACTACATACGGTCGCACGTAAGTCTTATTACACCGCTCCATCCAGCGCGATGACCGGAGGAGCTGTCGATACCCAAACATACGTCTGCTAAGTGTGAAGTAAAGAACTTTCTCCTGGTTGATCCCCTTGTTGTCACCTGGCATGGTCAGAAAGCTCGTATCTGGGACGATGGTCGTTGATGTCTGAGTCCGCTTCATGGGGAACCATCAGCGACTGTGAAAGCTGCGCATATGGCTGTTGCCCATAGGCAATGGACGGGTTATACAGCAGTGGCTGCGGTACATAGGATATTGCTGACGGAGGTAGTGGCGAGGACATAGTGCTGAGGGCAGGATCGTAATACTGCACAGAGCTGCTATTGTCGTTGGGTCCAATAGGGGGGTGGTGGTGAGCCAGGAGCGCTCAGGGGTGATGGATGAAAAGGCATCGGCGCCATAATGGACATGCTGCCCGGGACCGAAGTGGCTGCTCCACCATTTGATGGCGACCGTGGATCTGAGAGTTGAGCAATAGGAACCGGCTCCATGCCCTTGATATGGCCTCGTTTCTTGAAGTACCATGTCAAGAGTACGGCGAGAAGGGTCATCAAGGCCCCGAGTACGGCCCCTCCAACCACACTTCCCGCGATTACGCCGGCGCTTGGCGTGTTGCTACCGCTATCTGCTGATGCCAATACCGTTTCTGTCACTCGCACTGTGACTGTCTCTCCAATGACTGATCCGCTGGTGGAAAAGGAGGATACGGTCACTGGGGCAGGACCGTTTTTGCCTGTTAACCGAGGGAGACCAGATTGCGCCGTTGTTTCTCCAGCTGACGTAAAGTTGACATATTCTGTCAAGGTCTCTTTGTCCGCCGTGCAGTAGTACTTGGTCATGCCGTTCTCGAAGCGACGCGTTCCACAAAAAGGTATGAATTCATCACTGCGGATTCTGATCAGCCATTATCCCTCTGCTACTTTCACCAGTCAAGTTAAACTCACCAGAATCCCACCTTTTCGTCATCTAGCCTGCCACATGTTGACGTGAATGTACCCCAAGTCGCTGTGCCAGAACCAGGGTTGAAATCGCAACATGATGTCTGCCATGTGCAATCGTCCCCATAACAGCATCCGACCACGTTTAGATCCGTGTTAAATTTGCACGCTTCCCCTGTTGGGCATTTGTACGCCGAGGTGCCCTCCAGGAAGCCGCAGAGTTCAAGGCCCACCGTGTTGGTGTTGGTGTTGGTGTTGTCGGCGCGCGCGAAGATCTCTCGGACGAGGTTGGACATGGGCGCCTTTGTAACGCGGGCAAGCCGAGGATCTGCGCTGAGCCCTCGAACAACTTCTGTTGATATATCCATCGCTGGGTAATGACTAGCAGATGTTGACCTGATGTGGCCGAAAGATTTGGTCAGATCAGTATGAGGGCCGACGACCACCAATCTCAAGTCCACGAAGCTTATGAAACTGGGGACTCTTGGAAACCGCCTGATCAAAAGAAGGGGAAGTCTAGATGAACACCCCAGGAGTTGGCCATGTTTCCTACTTTTATTAAAGTGTGGTTGTCATGTTTTCACTCTGCTTAGCTGCAGCGGCAATATGACAGAGGACAGGGGAGGAGAGACTGGTCGTCAGGAGCCAGCAGATCCCAATGGTTTGAGGTGGTGCAAGGCGGTCGGTCCATGTTGTTTTCTGCGGATGGCGGCTTGTTGTTTTGTGGTTGGAGTCTGGAGGAAGACTTGATGAAACAGGTGGGAAGCCGGACAAGTGCTGCCGCTCGTCTGGGAAATCCTGCGAAGAGAAACACAGACCCGCATTCGCACTTTGACTGTTAATGACCAATTAGGTGCACTGTGTGCTAACAATTTATAGCATCTCATTGGTGGACTGCGGAAAGATGCAGCAGGAACGTCCAGGGTCGGACTTGCAGGTCTTTTGGCACCTCGAGGACCAACACTCCTTCCAACAAAGACAACACTCTCTTGGCACTCGAAGCATCTCTCCTGTTACATCATCGTTACTCGAGAAATGAAGCTATCGCGAACTTCCCAACGAACTGAAAGCCAATATATGGACCTGTTCATCAAAATGGCTTTCATGCCTATCGTTTTCCGCCCGGAAACAGAGAAGCGACATCGGCCACACAGTTCATGCTGCGATATTGGAACGGTGCCTGTCGTCCTCCAAGTTACCTCTACCTCTTCTTCAGCAGCATCACTCGTCGAGTTAGCGCCAATGGAGACAAAATTATCTGATCAGCTGATTGACACTGGTAATGTACTCCATACCTCGCAGTTTGTTCATTGAAAAACATAGCAAGAGCTGTTCAGGAGACCATGGCTGCTGCTTTGGAAGGGAAGAAAGGCGTACGCTTATGACTCGGCAGTATGAGGCTTCCACGGTTCACTCGCACATACAGCCTCCATACTGATATTTGACGAGCCTTACACTTGTCCTGTACATTAAGCAGGCTTGTTCTTCCAAACACTAAGAACAGGTCTCTGGCGGGGAATCCGGGACTGACTTCCGAGCAGAACACTCCTTGTGCTAACAACCAAAGACGGCAGTATGGAGAGAACAAAGCAAAATCCCCACTATCCACATTGTTCACCGAGAACTTCGTCTATAAGGGGTATCGTGGCATTGTTCTGCTTAATGTGTTCTTTGAGTTCCGCGAACAATCTCATTGAAGATGAGCAATGAACCAGTCCCTCTACAGACTATCAAAGCAACATGGTTGTTCAACCTTTGCTTTGTGAAGGACGAGACTACGCGGCACCGGATTCGAACCTTTATAAAACACCTCGATGTCTCAGATTCTTTCGAGAATATGGATTCCAGCAGACTAACCAACAGCAAAAAAAAAAAAACCAATCCACCGAGAGTCAGTTATTCCATCTACCGACAATGTCCGACTCCAACACCCGAGCGTATCTCTTCAAATACAAGGGATCTGACTTTGTCTTTTGCAGAACGGCCGGCCATGGCGCTGAAGCCCAGGCACAAGTCGTCCGGAAAGTCAGCACAGGTGAGCTCTTCATCCGGAAGGTGAGCAAGCACCGTCTCGAAGGACACCAATGCACGTCGCCCAATGAGTTCCGCCTTATGGAAGACCACCTGAGTAAGCCTCCTCGCTCACCGGATATCCACCCCCTGATTCCGCAGCTCTACGGCCACGAGAAGATCTCATCCAGTAACGGGAAATTTCACCTTGTGTCCTACTGGCAGCTGATGAACGGCGGCTCGGTCCAGGACATAATTCTGACCAAGTACAACTCGTTCAAGTACACCAAGTTCAATCCCGACACACGGTTCCCAGCCAGACTCATCGCCCGCATGATTCACCAGGTCCTCAGCTCTCTGCAACACCTTTACACCGTCTACGAGAAGCCGATTTTCCACAGAGATCTTCACAGCGGTAACATCTGGATTCACTTCCCAAGGGTTCCCTCCAGTACCGGTGAGCTCAGCGACGTCCCTGACTTCTATCTCGGTGATTTTGGCTACGCCGGCTTCAACACTGGCTTCAGCGGGAACCACATTGCCACCCGAGACGTCGACCAAGTCATGGAATCCGCACGGCTGATGATCTGCGTCAACCTGCCGGAGAACCAGCGGCCACCAAGAAGCTGCGTAGTCCCTAACCCTGACGACCCCAACCGCAGCAAGATCGCGGGAGACGCGCCCATGTCTGCTGTCCTCTCGCTCTACTACGACCTCTGCGATGAGCTGAACTTCTTCAAGGAAGAAAACAGCCGGTTCATCCGCAAGCCCTCCTGCCCCCCGCCCGATTTGATCTCTTTCATCCGACGCGCTAAAGCGGTCGAGCAGAAGCTTACGCCTTCGCTGACAGGGCTCATGTTGAGGACGGGCCTAGACGAATCTGGCGACCCGCGCGTCCAGAAGTTTATGTATGACCTCAAGGCGGGCGCCATCAGCAAAGCTACGGCCCAGCCCTTTGCCATGACCGGATCGGTTCAGACGTGCTTAACCCCTAGGATTCGGAATTCCCGCATCAAGATCCATGGTCCATTCTACCTAGCGGAGATCAGGGCTGCTACAGGTATGTGGGAGGCGATTGATGACCAGACTTTCCACCGCCCCGGCAAAACGAGGGGAAGTGGACGGGGACTGAGAGCCCTCTCAGAGAGCCCGGATGAGGATTCGGGTAATTCTGATTCGGAGCCAGAATTTTGATGAGGGTTTGAGTGGGAGTGCGTTTTGGCGGGTGGTGTCTCAAGCGAGGCCGTTGAATTGTCTTCGGCGGATCTTATGTGTTTTCCTGTTTTTAGAGTTCGCGTCAGGTGCTTTGGTTCTGTACCTAGGTTTTGGCGTAGAGCAAGCCTCTGGTCATCTTTTGGTGATCGTTGTTGGGGCTTAGACTACGCATTTGTTAAACGAGAAGGGAAGGGTAAACTTGAACTAGATCAGCGTTAGAATGAATTGATTTATGAATGTCGTATTCATGCTCCCTACAAGTACAATGCGTGAATTTGTTTAACTGAGAACTCGTGCGCACACGCGACCCGCCCATTATTAACATTTGAGGATAGCCATAACATGCAAGTAAACAGGTACGGCACGGCCCAACTTAAGTCGAACCTTGGATACTTTCAAATTTTGCACGATGAGGCTGGTATGTAGAGGTCATTGCATCAGACACCATTGATGTTCGCTAGCAGCCAACAGAGGCAAACATTTTTCGGCCGACATGTGAGAAGGCGGGAACTTGGAACTATTGACACCAACGGGACTCTAGATTGTGTTGGTTCTCACATGACAGGGTTTATACTCAAGGTGGCGGCCAACATGCGAACTGTCCCATATGATATCTCCACCCGTTCTGTCTAAGTTCTTGGCTAGAGGCCTCTTGGTCAACTTCCCTCAAGCTGCCATGGGTTACTTGCTGTACAGTACGCATGAACAGCAGTTGGCTAATGTTGAAGGCTTTCATGATTTATTGCATCCGTTTTGATGAGGCGCAGGTAGCACTGAAGGGTAATACGATAAGAAGCAACGAGCAATGGAGGTTGAGGACGGCTGGTGATGGACTAGATAGGTGTATAAAAGGGTTGAGAGGACCGAGGGATGTTTTGATCTTGTCCAAGCCAGAGAATCATCACTCCCTCCAAGCCCAAAGACAGAACTTGCTCAAGCAAAATGGTCCACCTCACCCCCCTCGCCCTCGTGGCGATGAGCCTCCTCACTCTCGTCACCGCCGCTCCCACGGCAAAGGCCACAACCGACTCGGAACCCGTCTTCTCCTTCGCCAAATGGGTCGATGACCTAACTGCCAACCCAGACACTGCCCTGGGACCAGAGGAGGCGTGGCAAGCCTACCTCAATACTGTCAATTCCACCTCTACTTTCTCTGCCGTCCCCGTTGCCGAAAAGCGATGGGATGCTGCTGTGATATGCAACGATATTGCCCCCGGTCCGGCGTACGTGAGTTTTTCTTCTTCTTCTTCTTCTTTTTCTTCTTCTTCTTCTTTTCTTCTTCTTCTTCCTCCTCCTCCTCCCCGTCCCCCCTACCCGGGCCGGAAGTCCATACCAAGATAACGAATTAGAGAACGAATTGGAAGCTAACAGACATGGGTACAAAAAAGGCACCCGACGCCGTCTGGTGTATCAATTATCTCGCTGCCAAGGGGTCTGCCGCCTGTATAACCAACACTGTTTCCGCCTTTTGCTTCCATGGGAACGCCCAGATAACTGGCGTCTCTGGAAGCGGCTTTCAGCAAAGTACCTGGTGAGTTCCCTTCTGTTTCCCGGGCCTTTTTATTTTTTATTTTTTTTTACCACCCCTCTCCCTGTTGTTCGGCGAAAAGTGCAAGAAACGATTAGACTGACTGGGTATAACCTTTCACCTCTAGCCAACGAGTTGCCCAAACTGCCGACCTCATTATGGGCACCTGTACAAGGTCCAACAATTATGTAGAGGGCTCGCGTACGAACGTGAACGCAGGTGTACAGATGTACGTGCATATTCGGGCTCCTGGTGGGCTGTAAAGATTTTAGGTATTGGTTTGTTTGTTCGAGTGCTGGTTGGTATAGGGCTGTCAAGGTGGTCATCTACCTACATGGGTGCCCGAGGATGTAGGAACCTGGAAGGAATGGAATTTGACCGATGTAGTTCTTGAATCGACGGCAAGAGAAGCAAAAAAAAAAAGGATTGTGGTGTCAAAATAGTCGGTTTTGAAACTGTAACATGCGAGTGAAAAGAGGTAGGTAAACATTATCCAGAGAACGAAGAATGCATTAACACCAAAAGCGTGTTGCAGCTGTGCTCTGATAGACCGGAATGATTCCGGCTGGCGCCAGTGGCTCTGCTGTCATGTTCTTCTTTTGAGGAAGGTAAGTGCCGAAGCCCAGTGGACAGTTGCCAATGCACCGAATGCGCCTTCAGCACGCCGCTGAGTCCAATATCAAGTCTCCCCGTTCACCAGGCAGTTGCAAAGGTCAAATACTCCTGACTATTTGCGCAGCCTGGTCCTTCCCGTTGAGGCTTTGAGAACAATGCATGCGGATGCTACGCCATAGTGTTCCCCTAAGCGGCCGCCCCAGATGAAGGGTTCGGCCACCCAAATGGACCCTTGGACCCTTGGGTTTGACTTGTCTTCCCAAATCGGAAATGACTACGTGATCTCCGTCGTGTGTCGACATTTGCCGGCGGAGATACACTTCGTTTAATAGAGTCCGCTTCTCTTAGCCAGGAATACATTAGGTAAGAGTGTCGCGTTGGTTACCTTGACTAAGCTTACCCCCAATTTCGATTCAATGCTTCTCCATGTGTGAGAATGTTTCAATGAATTAACCTTCGCGGCACAGGCTTAGCTTGGCGCCCATACCTGCCTCCCTGTCCATCAGACGTACATGTGCGGTCCGGTCCGGCTTTAGTTGGGGCCCTATATGGGTGTGCGCATATCACAATGAGTTGAGGCTGCCTGGCTGGCGCGATGCATTAGAGTAAAGTTTGGCGCAAGTATTCCTGTATCTATCAAGGTCCTCTACCATCCAGCCGAGCAGAACATCTCCTGAACCGACCAACGTAGAAGCAGAAATAATGGAATCACTTGCCAGAGGTCTCTAAGCTGTGTTCATCATGGCACAGTTATTGTCCCGAGTTGAGCTACAACTCACCCTCGGGGTCCAGCTCCAATTCAGTTGGGTAAAGTTGAGGCATTGAAAATGCCCTCGAAAGCCGCATAAGGACGAACTTGTCCCAGACCAAAGTACCTAAAATACATAGCATGTCGGTAATCACTGATATTGTACGAGTCGTCTGATACGGCAAGGTGGGTAGCAACGGAAACCAGGAGGCTGAGAAGTATATTGGGACCTATGACACCCATGGAGCGTTGGAGCAACCATTCTATGAGGGTAGACCGTCGGCTGGCCGTCTGTCGGTCATCTCGAGGTGCCATGGGCTTGTCTTCTTCCTACGAGCATGGATGGTCAACGGCACGTCGACTAGTGCTGAGGTTGTCAGAATGCATTACAACAGTTTGATGACGGGGAGATAGCAATGCAACCAATAGCCTGAGAAAGAACACGGCAAACAAGGAGGTGACAGAAGATCCGTCATGGACTGGGGGTTAGGCGAAGGTAGAAGGTATAAAAGGCTGGGAGGACCGACGACTTTCTCTATCTTGTCCAAGCCAAACAAATCACTACTCCCTTCAAACCAACTTCACAATCCATACCACCCATTGACCCCAAGGAAAAACAAGCTAAAATGGTTCATCTCGCTCCCCTCTCCCTGGCGGCCATGAGTCTCCTTACTCTCGCCGCTGCTACTCCCACAGCGGCCACCACCGAACCCGTGTTCTCCTTTGCCAAGTGGGTTGACGACGTGGTCACCAACCCCGAGACTGCCCTTAGCCCGGAGGAGGCATGGCAGGCCTACCTCGACACGGCGAACTCCACCACTTCCGTCCCCGTTGCTGCCCGCGGTGGCGTGGAAAAGCGGTGGGATCCGGAGGTGTCGTGCAATAACTATGACCCCGGTCCGGCATGGGTGAGTTCCTCCCTTCCTCCCTTTCTTTCTCGGCAAAACCCCATACGTACTATACCATACCGTAACTCTATAGTACCTCTACCAAGCGATCCAGAAAGCTAACAGACCTGGTTACTTTTTTTCTTTGTTCTCTTAAAGGCCCCCGACGCCGTCTGGTGCATCAATAACCTCGCTGCCAAAGGCTCTACCGCGTGTGTTGCTGGATCGGTCACTTATTTCTGCACCCGTGGAAGAGCCCGGATCACGGGCGTTTATAGCCCCCCGTCCGGAAGGGTGGGTCAGACGAGCTCCTGGTGAGTCCTCTTTTCTGACGATACCTATGTTCGCTCCAGTCCCCAACTGGCAGCCTATCTCATCTTACCGGAATTCCCCGCTTTTGTTCTTTTCCTTTTTCTTTCTTCCCCCCAGGTACACCGGAAAGATTGAAAGCAACTGACACGACGTTTTACTTCTTTGTAGCCAACAAGTTGCCCAATCTGCCGGTCGCATCATGGACACTTGCACCGCGCCCAACCAGTACGTAGAGGGCTCGCGCATGAACATCAACCCTGAAACATTCATGGCAGTCCATATCCGTGCCCCTTAGGAGTGAAGAATTTATGAATATTCTTCGAGTTTTGGGATCGAGTTGTCAACGAAGCAGTTTGGGGTATGTGGGAAAGAGTTCAACCAATGTACGTAGAAGTGTTAAATCGAGGGCAAAAAGAAAAGAAAAGAAAATGGATTGAGTGACAGAGAGTTCCGCATCATATATGAGGTGCCTTTATATGCAGACTGCTGAGAACCACTCGGTGTGGGCGTCGTCGTGGGCTTCGACATACGCCAAAACCGCCGCACCATATCTTCCATCTCTCTTTCCCCAGTCCCTTTCCCGAGTCCCAACCCACTTCTCCCTTTCTCCCTCCCCGTGCAACACCTTCAAGTTCAGTTACCAAGCAGTATGCCCCCCATCAACAACCAAATTACCACCCGTCATGAAACTCGACGCATCACTCGCCAAGAACTGCACCACCCCTCTAAACTCCCTCGTCTCCGCCAGCCGTCCCATCATGTTCTCCGCCTCCCACTTCTCCCTCAGCCCCGGCACTTCCTCAAAGTTCTTCCTCACCATCGGCGTCAGGATGTGCCCGGGACTGATACAATTGACCCTGATCCCGCCCGTCCCGTCTTCTTGCTTGCGCGACCACTCCATTGCCAGGTTCCTGGCCAGCTGGATCACCGCCGCTTTGCTGCTGTTGTATACGGGACTGATCAAACCCTTGTTGGCGACCAGGCCGGACATGGATGCGATCAAAACGATGGAGCCGGGCTGTCTGAGCTTGTGCATTTGTCGAGCGGCCGAGGTGGCCGTCATGAAGACGCCCGTGTAGTTGATGGCGAGCGTGCGGGCGACGTCGTTCGGGTTGTATTCCATTGCGGGCGTGATTTGTTGGACGCCGGCGGCAGCGACGACACCATCGAGTCGGTTGTTTTCGGTGGCGATGGAAGCGATGAGCTCGTCGAGGCCCGAGGTGTCTTGGACGTCTTGTTTCCGGTAGTGCAGAGAGCCGCCGTAGGCAGAGGGGACGCGCTTGAGTGCTGAAGACCAGGTGGCTGGGTCGGGTTGTTGGGCACGGTCGAGGCAGTAGACTTTTTGTTCCAAGGAAAGTTAGAAGAAAGGGGATATTGGTTTGTGGGTGAGGAAGGGGAGAGTGAAAGAGGCCTGCCTACCTTTGGCACCAGCTTCAGCAAGTGCTTCTGCCATCTCAAGACCAAGACCTTGAGCACCCCCCGTGACGATAAAGACCTTGCCGGTTAGGTCAAACTGGGAGAATCTCTTGACATCACTGTTCTCGTTTTGAGGCTTGGTCTCGTTGTCTTTGGGTGGTGGTGGCTTGGCCACTGTTGGTTGTGCCTCCAGTTTAGAAGCAGTGATTATCGTTCGCGTGGCAGTGATGTTGCCGGGTCTGGGAAACAGAGAGCATGTTCGTTGTGCCAGACGACCATTTCTAGCGTTGAGTGTGCCGTTAAGACGTTGTCTGGTGAGAAGGCGGACTGCTCTTGTTGCTGAGGCGTTCATATTTGGCGAGTGTATGTGGTGTTTGTGATGTTTTCTTCTTCATAGATTTCGAGCTTGGTATCGCTCAAAGTGACAGATTGCTACCGCCGGATCATTTTCTGAACGCGATTCAATCTGGTTTATATCAGCAAGCCAGAGGACTTCTCAAACGTGACAGCATCTTGGTAATATTGATCCTTGATCATGAACAAAGCCGAAGATCAAGTGAAGATCTCGATGTCCATCAATCCTGGCGCCACAAAAGAGTGATATGTCTTGGACGGTTTCCAAGTCTTGTTTGCGCGCTCAGCCGCTTAGACGTCGGGTCGGTAACGGAGAACTGGATAGCGGTTTGCCATGTTGAATGGAAAATAGCATTTCGTGTGGTTGAGAGGTGCACATCAGCTCGACCTCAGACGTCATAAGGGGGGGAGAAAGGGGTGTGATTTGCACTAGATTGTACAAAAAGAGTTCAATGTTCGGATGTGGGATGCCGGTACTATGCATCTCCGTGTCTCTCAGATTTGATACGAGGTCCTGATGGTCAGCGATGATGTTGATGCTCGGTGAGGTGGAATCATCTCTGGTGAGGAGGTCATTGTCGGAGTCGATGTTGATAGAGTCCGTGCCCTTGGGCCCCTCTGTCCGAAAAGGGACTTCAGATTCACGATGATCAGTTGAGGTTCCACGATGCTCCCGTCCTTCCATCGGTGGAATGAAGTTGAGTGTCAGAGTCCGGTCAGGTCTTGATGCTCAGACCCCCACTGTAACGAGCACTAACACGCATCGATTTAGCGATCAAGTAGGGGTCAGGCTTCTGAACCTTTTCGTCCGGGCCGCTGGACTCCATTCCCGTCTCGCATGGCATTACACTCACAGGAAGGAATGCGGGGAGGCCATCGGGATAGCCTCTGATTGGTTGAGTGCCGATATTGATCAATCATAGCTCTTCCTGAGGTTCCATGACGTTTGGGACTCGGACAAGGAAGAAGGATCGTCAAAATCCCGAGATCTGATCCCAACTCCGCCATGATCGCCATATCCACCCACTTACAAGAGACGACAGGTCGTGCTCTCTCAAATGTCGAGGCCAACAAGAACTCAACAAACGCCGCAAAGGCGACAAAGAAAGCCCTTTGTTAGGCGCCCGTCTTGACGACAATGGCCGGGCATCAAACCTCCTTCACTGCTACACCACACAAAAAGACGAGGAATCTGGGGACGAGTTCATCAGAGATTCATTTACATTCATAATCATAACTCATAACATCAACGCCATCAGCATCCGTGTGCCCTCCCATCATTATCAGGAGCTGATGACGGCAGGATTCCAATTCACCATCCCGCCCACGCACTCTGTCGTGATGGATGGGCCGCCCCTCGCCTCCACGATTAACACCGTCGTCCCGTTTTGCAGGGTTCTCGACACCGACACCACGACATCCCCCGTGCTGTTGGTGAACAGGACCTTGCCCGAATAGATTCCTGCTCCGCCAACCTGCGGCATCTTCTTTGAGAAGGTGGCATTCAGGTCCCTCCCGCCGACCGAGACGCTGATATCGGCCGGCTCTGCCAACAAAGCGGTGATGAAGATGTTGTCCTGAAGCAGCTCATCCGGCGCGTATACCTGCTGGTAATTCGGGTCGTTACCGGTCGTGTTGCCGTTGTTGCACGCCTTCGCAGGGTTGATTCGGTAATAAGCTACGATCGCCTCTTCTTTCACGGCGACGTTTTCCTGCGCTACCACCTTCACTCTGAAGGGGACCGAGGTCTTCGACGAAGCTGGCGCGGTAACAATGGTCGTGAGGGTTGTGACGACAGTGGTGATGGAAGTAGCAGTGGGGGCCATAGTGACGATGGTGGTGCTCGTCTTGGTAGGCTGGGCCTTGCTGCCCTGCTTGTACTGCTGGATATAGTAGGGCAGCAACTTTCTCCATCCGTCATGCGGTATGTTCTTGGCATAGTTGAGCGGCGCATTTCCACTCTGGAACAACCCAAGCGACTTCTCACGGACCGGACCGATATAGTGCGACTCGCCGTAGTCGTTCCAGGTGAGAATCTCCACAAAATCGGGCTGGAAGTCGATCACCTGCTGCCAACGCGTATCCCAGAGCTCATCTCCCTTCCAGAGCCAGTTCTTATTCCAGCCAGGAAGGTTGGTATAGAACCACCCGGCGACCGGCATCATATAAGGACGACCACCCAACGCTTCGCGATACGATTCATCCACTTCCGTGGTCATGACAGAAGGCCCCTTAGGCCAAGCGTCGAAGCTGAATAGTCCATCCGCAACACTACTCGCCGTCGTGGCCGCGTTTGCAGCACCAAGGGAGGACCAGTCTGGGATAAAAAGACAGTTGGTCTTGCCCTTGATATCATGCCAGTCCTCCGCATGACCAGGTCCCTCGAAGGTGGAAACGAGAGGCTTGTAGGTGTTGTCGGGCTTGAAGTATGAACGCTCATTTGCCCAGCGGTTGATCAGGGTGGTTACATCGTTTTTGGACCAAGGCGCTTGGGCGTTGTAGTCGAAAGAGAAGAACAACTTGAAGTTGGCGGCGTTGGCAGCTCGAAAGGCATTGGTCAATGAGTTGGCGTTGCTTGCGTCCTGAGATGCAATGTTCAGAACGAAGCCGTCGATGGAGGCATTCTGTGCAAGAGCAATGTCATCTTGCCAGTCGGACAGGTCATAATTAGGTGCATTTCCAACCTGAAAATATGTGAGTGAGTGTTCCTTGTTTTTCAATGCGAAGGGTGGAGACTTACAATAAAGTGAGCAAAAACCTCCTTCGCTGCTTGCACAAAGGGCAGCAGCGCCAGCGCTGTTGCTGTCAGAACGGAGAACGAGTATCTCATTTTGACACTTGATACCGTGGCTCTAGGTCCTGACTGAAGGAAAGGGTATAAGATGAGAGGTAAGGACTGTGGTTATAAACGGAGAGGTACCTCGGCGCTTCACCGTCGCGACCGTGACCTCTTCCCGATCAAAGAAAAAAACAAAGGAGTGGGGTAATGGAGCGTCAAGCTCCGTTGGTAATGGTTCCTGGTCTAGATTCTGCGGACTGCATCTTGACATGGTGTCCCTGTATCTAGGGCTGAGGACATTTAAGTAAAGTTGGTTAGATGATATTGGCAATAGCCTCAAATGGCAAGCGTAGCGAATCTGCTAACGATCCGCTTGGATGGCTGGTGCATACCGATATCGGAGATACCGGAGCACATTCCAAAAGTATAAAGATGTCAGCAAGGACCATGCGTCCAGCCACAGCTGAAGCTGCCGAATTTGACGGTCAAGCAAAAACTTGGATCCACCGGGCGTCGTCAGACCGCCTCAAACGGGAAGGTGAAGTGAAAAAGCATATCTTCGATGCTTGAGTGGTTTGCTTTGAGGATTGATCAAACTTTTCAGGACCTTTGAAGATTTCATTGCCGTTTCAACATCTCTCATCACAAACACCATAGGCGCCAAAGAGGTGGTGGTGGTGTTGAGGATTTTAGCGACCGATTGTTGATTGACCAAGGACCGCTCCGTTCCAAAACTTGGAACTCTGAATCTCTTACAGGGAGAGGCCTGTGTGAGGCCCCTTGGCCGAGAGATGAGCAAGTTGAAAGCGGCGTGGGCAAACGCAAACTTGAAGCTGAAACGGGCTGGGCCGCTGAGGTCCGAATTTTGGGTGTGCTGAGGGAGAGAAAAGGTGCAACAAACGACCAACATTGGAGGTTGGTGGCCAATCCGGCGCTTTCCGTGATAGCGCTGACGCTATAATGCCGGACGCCAATGAGGGAAAAGATGGGGAGCCGCATTGGATCTTTTGATGCTTCTGCGAGCACGCCTAAGTGGATTCGTCAGATTCGTCAGATTCAGGGGTAGTCTTGACTCTTGTCGGCCTTTGACTGAAGAACATACACACCGAAATTTCTCCCGGCAAGGCGACCGACGCCCTCGACCCAAGCACTCTCAGCAAATGGTGCGACGCCACGGAACTCTATCACAAGGCGGTGGATGATATTGTGGACGGGCCTCATGGTGGAAGTCAGCCGCCGCGATGTTTCAGAGGAAGGACGGGAAAAGACGGTGTACTTCACCCCTGAGTATGCATCCGATACTGCATCGAAACTGAAGATACTCTCGTCCGATGTACTACCGGCGGCCAGCTTCATTGGCAATATTAAACGGGCGCCGTGATGGACATCTCAGGATAACCCGCCAATGGGTGTGTTGGCTTTGAGTGGAGAATTCGGAGACTTTTTGAGAATGGAAGTTGCAAGAAGATGGAAATGAGCGTGGAGTTTATCTAAAGGAAGTTGATCGAGGTTTCGGCTGAACTACTCACTTTCAGACAATCTCTTAGTCTGATGAGGAATTTTGGAGACGGTGAGGTAGGGGTGGAGAAGGGAATGAATGATTGAGCCACCATAGGGATTGGGACAGGTACGATCAGGAAGTTACCAAAGTTGAAGCTCCTTCGGAAAGTGGCATTTTCTCCGGCCGTTGTTCTTGCCTCCAACCACCAGTCATGGGCATCGAGACGGGATGCAACTGGGACGCGACGGCATCCTTGACATTGAACACTCTGGCAGCATGAGTCGCTCCAATCTTGCAACAGCAATTTCGAAAACCAAGTCGGGCAGGTATGATAAGCGGAGACAGTCGAAATCTTCGCGATCCGTGTCATTTCGATGTGTACTTCATTCGTCAAGGCGATTGAAGGGAATTTTCTGATGAGGGTATCGTTAGCTGTCTTTGAAGGGCTTTCGATGTTCCGGAGGGAAACCAAGGTGGAAGAAGACCTTCACCTTGCGCCCGCCTTGACCTTCTCCAACCTCTGAATGACTTGGTTCTGACATCACCTCAGGGATACAGGACCCCTAAGCGGGAAATAGTCAACAATGGCAAGCTTCACTAAGGGGTCAGAGGCGCTTCTAGTCTTGACGAAGTACCTCGTCCGTCTTCATCTTGCGGCATCTAGAGTGGTACTTTGCGCCTAGCTCAACGGTCATCAGGCAACATTGGCGATGCTAGACTCAAATCCTCTCCTCGATACACCCTCTTCATCCAAACACCCTTACCTCACCGGTAACTTTGCGCCCGTGCAAAAATGCTTTCCCCTAACGCCATGCTCCTACCAAGGAACGATCCCCATCGACCTCGCAGGCGGTCAATATGTCCGAAATGGAGGTAATCCAGTGATCAACAATGACGACTCAGTCCGTGAGTCTCACTGGTTCGACGGCGATGGGATGCTAAGTGGCGTGCTATTTCGCCGAGTAACAGCAGCAGGGGACGAGAAAGACACAATCATCCAGCCCGAGTTCGTCAACCAGTACCTGCTCACAGACGTGTACCAGTTTGCGCAAGCAAATCGGCAATGGATGAGGCGCCCGTTTATGCCGAGTATTTCCTCCCTTCTTGATCCTTTTGCGTCTATGGTGAGGGTGCTGTTGAAGATTTTGAGGACGATGGCCCTGGTAGTTCTCTCTTGGTTGCCTGGGTGGTCGAAAGCTCAAGTCAAGAGAATCAGTGTCGGCCAACACGTCGGTTCTATATCATGACGGGAGAGCCTTGGCAACTTGCGAGAGCGGCCCGCCTCTTCGTTTTGTTTTGCCCAGTCTGGAGACAGTTGGGTGGTTCAACGGTGTGACGACCGAAAACGAGCCTTCTGGTGACTCATATGATAAGATGGGTATAGCGGGTGCCTCAGGGTTTAGAGGAAAGGGTATGCTCTTCTTCATGAAAGAGTGGATGACGGCACATCCCAGAGTTGACCTCGAAACGAGAGAATTGATCGCTTTCCACTCCTTCTCGGTCAAGCCATACGTCAGTTACTCAATCATTCGGCCCTCTGGTGTTTCAACCTCACCTCAATTCATGAGTGTCCCCATCCCGGGCGTGGCTTGCCCAAAGATGATGCATGACTTTGGTGTATCTCGGCGCCACACCGTCATCATGGACATGCCGCTTTCCCTGGATCCGGTCAATATGATCAGAGGCAAGATCGTTCTCTCATATGACGGGACTGGGAAAGCCCGCTTTGGCATCTTCCCGAGGTACCATCCGGAAAGGGTGCAATGGTTCGAGACCAACCCGTGTTGTATCTTCCACGCCGCAAATTGCTGGGATGCCATTAGCGAAGAGGATTCAAATATCCCTGAGGATGTGGAACCCACAACAACTGTTAACCTCCTTGTCTGCCGTATGACTTCTGCCTCTCTGATCTTCAACACCGGTAACCTGCCCACGCCCGTGTCAAAGACACCGATACCCTCCAAATACCATGAGGAAGAGCAGTGTAGACTGTACTACTACTCCTTCTCCCTCGTCCCACGAAGCCAACGCATCGTCCACCAATTTGCGCTCTCAGCCATCCCCTTTGAGTTTCCTACCCTTTCCCCTGCCCATACCATGACCCAAGCCCGTTACATCTACGGGTGCACCGCGACCTCCCCTTCGGCCTCCTACACCAACAGCCTAGGCAAGTCCGTCAAGATCGATGCCCTGGCCAAGATTGACGTCTCGGTCCTGATCGCCCGCGGAACCGCAACCAACAACCCTTCCCCTCCGGAGCCGATAAAGGGCTGTGTAGACACCCGCTCCGTTTCAGAGATCCTCACTTCCCCCTCCTACTCATCCTCTGAAGAAGACGACCCCATCAAAATATTCACCTTCCCACCCAACCACTACGCACAAGAAGCCCGCTTCGTGTCCCGGCATAATGGCATATCGGAAGATGACGGGTGGCTGCTCACGTACGTCTTTGACGAGTCCCAGCTTAATGAAGAATCGGCGGAGTGCATGGAGGGGGCAAAGAGCGAGTTATGGATCATCGACGCCAAGGGGATGAGGGAGGTTGTGGCGAGGATACGACTGCCACAGAGGGTACCGTACGGTTTTCATGGGGCCTGGTTTGGCGAGGAGGAGGTGCTTGGGCAGAGGGGTGTTGAGAAGGTTAGGAAGATCGAGGACATGGATGGTGGTGAGGGCGGATTTTGGCGAGTGGTAAAACAATGTATTGGGCGGTGGTTACTGAGGTGAGGATCGCCCTTCTTTGTGTCCTACCATTTATGATATAATGAATATGAAGTGTTGGTTAGTCAAGTCGAGACTGTGATGCTGCGAAGCATGCAGGTAAGCAGATGGTAAGAGACCCATATGGCCCCATCACGAATAGCAAGGGAATTAAGCTTGAGCAAAGCAAAAAAGCTGCCAGCCTAGTGTGTTCGCATCATGAAATCCCCTCCACGTCCCATGTCTGGAAGAATGTGATGCTGGGGATGACGGTCAGACGACGACGAACGGTTGGGAATGTGAACGTCGGTGCCCTTTTCGTGTATCCCCAGCCCGCTAATCTTGCCCGGTGGCACCATGGCTCGCTTCATCTGCTAGCTGTGTCATCGTGTGCCATTAAGCTGCGAAAGGTGATTGGGGGCGATGTTGTCAGCAGTGTTATCAACAGAGTCATGGGGGCTCCATCTCTAAGGGAGATGTTGTGGTATGGTTTAGGTAGCTCCCCTGAAGCTTTAGAGAAAGGTCCCGTCCCTGCTGGATTTGGCAAAGAGCTAGTGGTGCCTTGACTCACTGTGTCCCTGCTTTGGGTCTCCCAGTGGCGCCATCAACATGTGCTTATAAAGCCAGTGTTTGTCTGGTTCCCGCTACCCAGGTAGGAACGGGCATAAACGAGCTTGTCGTCATCAACTGGTCAACCCGACATCAGGTTTCTCTTGGGTATGGGCTGAGTCTTGAAATTATGGCGCGCCATGTAGAGGAAGATGTCGACGGCAACTGTCCGAAAAGAGCGATGAGAAATGAGAATCTTGATGGCCAATTCCACCTTCCGCAATACGTCCGTTCAACTTCATGGATGTCTTGATGCGCTGGACGAACTGGTAAGTGCCATCAGGCCATTCCTAAGGTATCTAGGTATCTACCTTATGCAGGAGATGGGAAATTGCGAAGGAGGAAGGAACACATCAACGGTTTACATCTCTTTTCGGATCTCGGCAGGACAGGCTAGACCAGTTCTGGAGAAGGATCAACAGCAGGGGTGGGATCGGATGGGGGTGGGAGTGTGACAAAGTGGGTTGGTGGGGGGGCATTGGAGCCACTGGAGCACATGGCGTTTCGGCGTTTCAGGGGAAGGCACGCTTGCCAGTGGGGCTCCAGGGGAAGTTGAACTTTTGTTTGAAGCTCTTGCCCGATGCCGTGCTCTCGTTTAAGGTCAACTATCGCATGTTTCTTTCCCCGTCTTAGACACAGTTAGTGTACAGCGTCAATTTCAATTTGAGTTAGATTTGGCAGTGTCGAGCCTAATTTGCATTCGAGAGTGGTGCAATCAAGGAAGCATCATTCTCTGTGTTCCTTCCATTTTGTCCTTAATGATCACGATGAAGGCAGGCACGATAAAGGCCAAGATGAACCCCGCTTTTTTTGCGTTCGTCTTTCCCGGTGGGGGATGATGGCCTGTGCACCCTAGCTTCGGAACACCTCGCTGCAACAGCAATTCAATTCCTCAATTCCCGAACAGCAAACCTGAGCTTTGGACGCTTGGGTAATCAAGGCCGTGCTTTCGTCTACTCTGCCTCAATCTTTGCCTTTGTTACAACAGGTAACCCAGTTGTAATCTCTCACCATTGAGTGACACGACCCAGTGGCAACATATCCTCAGCCTCTTGACCACGGTGCTTATCTGACAGTGACCGTCTACACGCACCTTGCAACACCACCATCAGGTTCCGTTCCCAATCCGGAATCGTGAGACCATTCGGGAAACGCTACCCACCTCTAACAGGTACTGTCAACTTCCATCCCCAACATACCGGGGCACTTCGGGCATCATGTCCGATCATATTCGGCGTTCATCTTGGAAAGTGACGATGTCCGGTCAAGTCTCACCCCACTGCCCCGGGCCTTCTGCAGGTACAACGGCAGAGGCATGCCCGTCTGCTAAACAGGATAACAGGTCATCTCTAGGCCACTTGGCGCGTTATGCACACCAACAACACCAAATATCCCCGCCCATGATAAATCCACCGACAAGTTCACAATCACGAGCCGGCTGATCTTGGGACTGCGCTACAGTGTTACACAGTACCCGTCCCTAGGACACGAGATCAAGGTCGCCATACTTTGATACCTCTACCATGGTACAGTAGCCCAAAAGCGCTTTCTTGCATCCCAGACCACAACTCCTCCAAGAAGTTGAGACATGTCTCTCGGTCGAGTATGCGTCACAAGCCCTACTATCTCTTGCGTCAGACTCTATTCGTTGATTAATGGGCCTTATCAGCCATGGTAATCACTCAACTCTACCGAGATCAACGCATCGGCTCGCATTTTTCACCTCTTGGGAAGGCCGAATCGCAAGCCACTCAACAAGCGGGTTCCCCTTCCGGCTTATACGCATTTTACAAACAATCCATGGTGAGCCCAAAGCCGGAACTCATGCCATAGCCAGCTTGCATGAAATAAGAGCCGCAAAGCTATGGGTGCTTTGACGCTTGGGCCCGCGGCATCGACCTTGACAAGGGGCCATCACTACTATGCATTTTGCACGATCATACCCAACCATATCGGCAAGTTCCCTTTTGGGATGGCATGAGGGCGGTTGAGCACGCAAGCGCCAAGTGGGGATGGGATAGAGGACCAACAAGCCCATCAATCTCTGTCTGGAGCTGGTGGTATCGCCATCTTGACGTGGCTTGTCTATCCTGTTTCTACCAGTAAGCCAAGTGCTCGGTCCTCTAGTCTTGGGCGGTTCTGCATCCCACTAATACTGCTCGGTTCATATTAAGATTGCAGTCCCCGCAGTCGATGGGTCATCTGCTGACCTCCCACTATGGCTTCAAGCGAATCGGCTCCTCGTCTCAAGGTTGACGTTTTACGATTGCTTACAGCCGTAAAGGAAGATGCCTACAATTCCCGAGTGGAGGTTGCTTTGAACAAACCACTTATATGAGATATGGCTGGGCGTCAGCACGTCTTCTCGTCAAGCATCCCGGACACGTAAGATATATCGGTGCCAGTGCGCCGAGACATCATTTCATGGTTCATACCAGTGCCGTTGAGTGCGGACTAGCCTCCGGTCTAGGGCTGGAGTCTTCCTTGAGCGTCATATACCCTGATCAATGCTACCTCAGTATCCTTAGTCAACTGTGGCCTCAACATTTTCTTCCTGTTACAACAGGCGTGATAGCTCACTTTATGTTCATCTGCTTCAACCAAGCATGAACCTGCTCTCACCTCCCACCCCACTACGGATGGTCAAATTTACCCCTCATCCCATAACGAGCATCTTCCCGCCCTCATTCGGACGTTGGACGGGACCACACGGAAAGTGGGTGCTTGTGTATCTCTGATGCAAGTTCTCCCTCGGGCGTGAATTCCGCACTAAGCTTGCAAGCCTCCCAGAGCAAAGATTGACTCTGCATAATGCCCACGTTTTTCTGCGGAAGTCGAAACAAATATCCACTTGCTATGCGCCTCTACTACTGAATGCGGCTGCGTGGTTCCTGAGGGCGGGCGAGTGCCAAATCAAGTCAGGGCCTACCTTGTCGTTCGGGAGAGTATCTTGTTGGGTAGTTTATAGACCGAGATCCTGAAACGTCAAGTACAGTATCCACATTGGGTTTGTGTTTGTCTTTACGAGTTGGACAAGCAGTTTCAACAATGTACCGCGTTGGCTAGTCATATTCCCAACACTCACTTCTGACCCTCGCTCTTTTATACTATGACTGCTCTCAAAATACCACTTCGATGCACGATTTTTCTTGGTCTTGGCTGGTATAAACTAGGATAATGTACCGGCCAAGGTTTCACACAGTGAAAGATGGTTACTTGCGGATCGAAGCAAGCACCTTAATTACAGGTTGTTACAGAGACCCTGCCTCCACCGTTACCTGCAGACGATCTACTGTACACGGACGTTTTTTTTCTGGTTGCTCGATCATATGAACACACAGTATCGTGTTCGGGTCTTAGCTGGTCTTGATGCCGATGCTAGCTTATGCAACATGGACTGGATATCATTTTCAGAGAGGGTCAAAGCGCATCTTGGGTCACCTTCCAACATGAACACCTTGCACACCAGAAAAAGACTTGTATATCTACAAGTCTCACGACATCAAGTGATATCAAGCAGGTCAACCCTACCTTGTCTCTCAACTTTGCGTTCAGTGTTTTGTCTCTACACACACAATTCCTTTCATATCCACCACCAGCCCATTTCCCCCCTTCCTGCGCAAGCCCTTCCGGTCAGGCAACCGTTGGATTATTCGTTGATCACCACCAAGGTTAACAGTAAGTCTTCATTCTACACTCGTATCCGTCCACGATTACTCATCAACGCGATCAGTTTTACATCCTCCACGCTCCCGTTGAGCTAGTTTGAGGCCTTTCAGACTCTTTGCCACACACACACATCATCATCATCTGCAAGCGATCTCCTCCGCCATCATCTCCACCAAACATGTGCGACTTCTTCAAGAACTACTACATCTATGCATCATGCACCGACCCCGGTCTTCACTTCTACAAGATCGAACTCGACGGCAGCCCACAAGGCGCCTGCCTCAAAGCGCCTCATGAAAGGTTCATCGTCAAGGGAGACAAGTGTGAGCATTGCCAGGGGTCATTACCACTGAGGATCTGACACGGGGAAAAATTCGTCACTAGGTTGTTGCTTGAACGGGCTGGATGCTACCATTGATACCTGTGCTTCTCGCACAACGTTGATTGTTTCACCATTGTCTTCTTTTCTTTTCGGTTCTCTTGTGTGAGCATCTTACTCTCAGCGCGATATCCCACTTTTTCTTCCCTTTAGTCTCTCCGGCGTATGAAGTGGTTCAATGGGTTTTCTGATATCGTCTCTTCATCTTTGTTATATCTTGCTTTATGATGCGGGTTGTTCTCGATGTTATTGGGCGTTCCAAGGATCGACATGTCATCTCTTGTATTTCATAGCTGGCCAGTCAGGCAAGGCACGTGGTGTTTTCTGGTCATTATCGCCCTTTACCATGTATCATTTTGGAAGTGATGGACGGAGCATATACCATTGAGGTGACTACCAATGACCAAGCAGGGGAGGGAAACCGGGAAACCNGAAGTGATGGACGGAGCATATACCGATTGAGGTGACTACCAAGTGACCAAGGCAGGGGAGGGAAACCGGGAACCAGTTTTGGGGGGGGGGGGAGCGCGATTAGTGTCATGTCAACCTTTGTCTAGCAGGATGGAAGTCTGAAAGGAAACGGACAGAAGGAAGAATAATGGCTCCCCAAATACGACTATGTGGGACGTGGGGGAAGACTATTAGGCCCAAGGAGGTTGCGATGCATGGGACTTGCATGGAGCATGGGGGCAATCTAAGGGAATCACGGAGCCAGACCCCCGAGGTTGTGGGGGTTACTGGATATGGAGTGAGAAGGAAGAAGAGATCTGATATCGGATATGTTGTGATAGTCACGAGGCAAGGAATACTTACCGGATAGTATCTTTACGACCGATGGCAATGGAAAGAATGATACCCGCGAAGGCCCCTTCGAGCACGGCGAGCAGTTACTCTAGAATCTTACCTTGAAGAGACAGTGATATCCTGAGATCCCATCATCATCACGTCAAGCCTTTGACAATGGATGCATCAGTTTGCTGTTCCGTCTCAATATCTTCACCTCAATCTTTCAATACTTTTCCAAAACTTGGTCAAGACCCATTATCGAGGCCACAAGCGAGAAGTCATATGCAGGTGATCGCGAACAAGTCAAAGATTTTCTTCTGTTAGTAGAGCACATGACCAGGCGACGTGAGATGGCCACATACTGTGTAGTAGACCCGTGCCGTTGAACCAAGAAACTTGGAAGTAGTGTAGCTTAGAGTGTGGGACAGTAGAAGTACTGACAGAGGAAGCAATATGATCAAACCATGAAGTGGTCATTGGCTAAGTTGGTAGTGGCCAGACCGAAGCGGGCTGGACATGTAGCTGAGGTGGCTCGACCCAGAAAACTAAGCCTCGGTTGTACACGCGTCCGTTCAAGGTCCGTCGTTGACTTTGGCTAGGTTTTCTGAATAGATTCTGGGCAGAATAGCTTCCACCTAGCTCATCGCTTGGTGCCCGTGGTACGGCACATGGTTGACCTTGCTGTGGTATAAGTGGTCAGCGGCCTGGCCTGATCTTGAATGACCGTCTGAAGGCTGTGACGACAGATACTTCACAAACCCTGGGCACCACGCTTTCCAGCTTCCGCTGTTTTTCGTGGTATCAAGGACACGTCGATATCCCCTCTCGTCCCTCCATTGTGTAGTGAAGAGGATGTCCTCGCTCAGCTTCATCAGCTGAAACCTCAGCCAGCTTCCGTTCTTCCGGGCCGTCGTGACTTAGCGTCCCTACCTCTAGGGTAGCGAGCGAGCGGGCGAATGTGCGAGATTACTAAACCGTACGTAGAGCAGGGCAGGGCAAAATAAGCGCGAAGGACCTCCAAAGCCAAGCGCCGCACGAAGAGAAAGAAGTGACAGTGCGCATGGCACAAGGCAGCATATGAGGTTGTATTTTTGTCGCTTTCCCACTTGTTTTGTCTGATCCACGCATTTGTCGTCGCATTGATGGTAAACTGCCAAAGTCGCAGTTGCGCAAGCGAGAAGCGAGAACCTAGTAAGGGTAAGGTAGAAGACGCAATGACGCTGAATCTGCTCGATGTACGTGTGCTCTCTCGGCTTCTTGAGTCCAGCCCAGCCCAGCCCAATCCGGTCCAGGGCCAGGGACGGGCCGATTCGAATGATCGTCGTTTTGCTCAACCTAGCAGACAAGGGAGGTTAGGGCGAGACGACCGTCTGTTGAAAGGTGTGAGGGACACAATATGTGGGTTGGGTTTCGAACTCGCCGGTGACTCGCTTCTTTGGCCGTGGAATCAGGGACTGTATGAGTCTCGGAGCCCAAGCCAACGAGTGTTGCGTATCAGGCGGATTCCACTGGGATGTCCTGGACGAGAGAGGGCTGCCAGTAGTACCAAGGCTGAATATAACCCCGGTTTTCTGACAGGGTGATAACGATGTGATGAGATTGGCGAAGGGAAAACATATCGACAGCGGAAGAGGTGAGCCGCATGGTTTCCCGAAAGTGGTGTAACTGAGGGGGGATGAGGACGATACGGGGCCTGGGATGTTTGCGCCCGTCAGTCTTGCCAATGCAAATAATTTCCGACCCGAGGTCAAGGCGCCGCTACTGACCAGGCTATTTCATGGCTAGATACCTCTCGACAGAGTAGCATCACGGTTCAAAGTTCTGGTGGCATGGAACGTCTCGAGTTTGGTTGTACTTGGAGGCACGGACCTCGGTGCGGGGTGAGGAGGTTCTTTGCAACCCGGAGACGGGTCGGAGGACCATCGACGTCGGCAACATGGAAGTCCGAACGTGGTAAACCGTGGCAAGTATCCTTGCCTACCTAGTCTTCGTTTTCTGTCAGCACGCGATGCAACTTCAGTGGGAATTTGCCGGATGACGCTATTGACGTGCTTGGCGTGGTGATGAGTGCGAGAGGATCCTGCATTTTGGGGACACGCGGGAAAACGAGGTCTTACGGAGGCTTGAGGCGATGCGAGACAGCAAGAAATAACAGAAGAATGAAATGAGATTTTGGGATTGACGGCAGGTTTGAAGAAGTGAAAAAGTTTGAAGGACGGAACGAAGAGGTGAGCGAAGGGGCAGGCCGATGATGGCAGATCATGGGATCCAATTGTACGTCAAGTACGGTTAGATAAGAGACAAGGTCCATTTACCTGGACCGCTGTCTAGCATTCCACTTTTGTGCCTTTTGAGCTTCGAAGGCTCTTGCCTTCTTGCCCTTCGAAATCCGTCGCGCTCTATTGGATCGCCATGTTCTCTCAATGTCTGCCTGGTTCTACCATGAGTCAACTTGATTTAGATGCTTGAAAGTTAGCAACGACCATCAACCCCAACACATCAACACGCAGTCCATCGCACTATAAAACACGGATGCGAAATTTGTCAAGCTGGGTGCCGGGAAGCGTACCCGGGATGTCGTAAGCTTGTGTTTATATTCGCGATGTTTGTCGTTTGTCGAAAGGTTCTGCTGTACGACCTTATCAGCACTTCATCGGGCAATGACTGCATACTCTCTCATGTAGCAAAAATAGTTCACATTTTCTGAAGATCACGTCTAAATGTGCATTTACAACATGGGGTTGCTTGACTGGACCCATGCTTATTGCTCGATGAAGACTTTTGCGTACGCTTATAGGACCTAAGTTTTGGAGTCCTTAT